CTTGCTGCCTTCTTATTAAGATGTATCCACCTAGCCCCACTGTTAGAATTCACCAGAAATCCTTAAAAAAATAAAATTAAAATAAAATATATATATATATATACAGCCAGCTCTATCTTCTATGGCCACCTGATCGTTCTAAAATAACTAATAAACCCCTTTCAATAATCCAATAACAAATTCCCAGCTAGCCTACCTCAATCAAATTAAAATAATCGAACCTCTTATAATAACTAAAGAGCTCTGCTTTTGCCCTGGATCTATACCCTCATAAGCAGACAGTGCTTCCTCTTTCTTGGATCAGATCTCCAACCCCCCCGGGATCACTGTGTCCCGCCTCTTGCTCATGGAAATGCAATCCTAGCACTCTGCTCAGCTGATTCCTGCCTGACCCCGGGATACTCACTGCGATTGCGCAATGCTTGGAACACTATTGATTCTGCCTCAACGTTCCAAATTCTTCATACCGGCAGCGCCATCTACGGCTTTCCTTACTGAACTGCAGGGATGTCCCTAAATGGCTGGTAAAATAAATTGGGTTAGCAGTACGTACAGTTGGGGATTCATTGTGAAGTGTGTGACCTAAGATTTGAAATTCACTTCGAAGTCATGATAATTCGCAATAAAAAAAATAATAGTAACCATGATATGTAACCAGATGCAGGGATATTCTCATCAGTTTAAAAATGAATTGCAAAATCAATACAGCGCTACGGAATTTGCAGGCGCTAAATAAATAATAATAATGCTAAACTGCGACTACAGTAGAATCAGAGATATGTTTTCCCCCAGATAAGCTAGTCATACATAGTATTCTAGATTCCAGAAAGACTCAAATCCATCAGGTTCAACCTTTAAAACCATTACTTTATGTTGTTGATCCAAAAGAAGGCAAAAAAAAATAAAAAAATAATCCCCTTTAATTTGGTGAAATGTGAAAGTTTAGTGAATAATATTCATTAATCAAGTAATGGTAATACATTTTCATTTTTTTAATTTAAGTTTTATTTTTTATTGTGATTTGTTAAAAAGTTATATTACTTTTCCTAAACTGGGTATTGACTCCAGAGCGCCATTGCAGTCTCAAATGTTGGACTGAAATCATCACATATTTTTATGTGAATAAAATAGTACTGTGCACTTGGTTGCGTTATGCTTGGTTATTCTATGGAGTGATGTGCGTCTTGGTAGAATATGTTAGAATTAGTATTACCATGTTTGAATGCCAACTGAGATTTTTTTTTCCTACAAAAATGAACCTTCAGAAGTAGTCTATACTATTCCTGTTTATTTTTATTTATATATTAGAGACTTTTTCATATCTATAAATACTCAAAATCATGTACCAATTAGTGTTAGCTACCACCCACACTTAGATCTAACTATGTAGTCATGACTGGAAATTGCCGAATTGCCATGGACAACAGTAACTATGCATGCACTATGCACTTTTTGTTATGGTGCCAGGAGGCCCCCAGTGAAAAAGGTAAGTTTCGTTCCAAGACAGTGTTGTGAATGGGGAGTCACTTTAACCCCTAGAGGTAAGAGAGTGCCCAGAGGCAAGTTCATTTAGATCAGAAGTTCCCAACCCAGTCCTCAAGTACCCCCTACCCTACCTGCAGGATTATCCTGTTGTGTTTCTTTTTCTAAAACACCTTAGACACAACTGGGTAATCCCTAGATCCTGGACTGGTATGGTGTACTTGAGGACTGGGTTGGGAACCACTGATTTAGATGAAGTTGGTATGGTGCCTGGCGTGTTCCTTTAAGGCTCATGCTCTAGGTAAAGACTGTTTATTTATCCCTTACATTTAACAAATATGTATTTGTGAAGTATGAAAAATAAAAATTAAATGTAGAAATACACAACACTGTAATTACCTCTATCCTGCAAATAAATGCCTCTATCCTGGATCTGTGTCAATCACCGTTATATGTTCTGTTTTCTGTCCTTGAACATGTACTATGTAGAGGAGTAGAAACAGAAAAACATGTTTCTGTTCTTTCTCCTCGAAAGCACTGTGTGCCTTGGATGTGCATATAAAGAACTGGATTGTGATGCCAATTGTTAAATATTTAACATGCATTAGCAGACAGATGAGTAACTAGAAATAACCAGGCCCTGGTGCAAAAATTGCCCCCCCCCCCACCCCTGTGTCGCTTTCCCCCCCCCATGCCACTCTATGTATCTCATTCTCTCTCCCCCCTGCTCCTCCATTTATCTCCCTTTTCTCTGCCCCTCATCACCTCCATTTGTCTCATTCCTTCTTCTCCTCAGCCCCTCCAGTTGTCTCATTCCCTTTCCCCCACAGCCCCTTGATTAACCTCATTCCATCCCTCAGCCCTTTCCATTTGTTTAATTCCCTCTCCTCCATTTGTCTCATTCCCTCTCCCCCAGCCCTTCCATTTGTCTCATTCCCACTCTCATCCACCATTTGTCGCATTCCCTCTCTCATCCCCCATTTGTCGCATTCCCTCTCTCATCCCCCATTTGTCGCATTCCCTCTCTAACCCTCTCATTTGTCTTGTTCCCTCTCTCACCCCCATTTGTCTCTTTCCCTCTCTCATCCCCCATTTGCCACATTTCAAATCTCACCCCCACCTTTTTCTCATACCTTCTCTCACCACCTCATTTGTCTTATTCCCTCTCTCACCCCCCACCCCCCCTCCCCCCGACTCTGTGTTGCGTGGCTGAGCGGTACCCAATCTGACAAGAAGTGCTCTCTTAGTAAGCACTTCCTGTCAGACCGCGATCCGCTCGGCCACGCTACACAGAGAGACCGGCAGGAGGAAAGCAGCACAGGGCTCCCCTCCCTCCGGTCACCCAGAGACCACAGGCCCCGGGCCAGTGCAGCAATGCCCTGAAGTGAAAGCGGCCCATGGTCGCAGCTGTGACCAGGCCCGCTGGAGTTACGGGCCTGATCGCAGCTGCAACCCCTGAGACCATGGTAGGAACGCCACTGTAAGCAAAGCAATGCTGATCAAAAGTGTCAGTGGACCATGATTAATCATGCACTCACACTAAGCTTTCCTTCGGTCCTCCCAACACCAAGTGACTAAGCATGTATGTGACTGTGAGGTGATCTGAAGGATTAAGGGAACATTGATTGTATAGAATAGTGAATTTAAAACGTAATCACAAAATTTAGGCTAAAATAGCAAAGCTGTGTCTAGAAACGAGTTTGCTCAAATCAGCACTTTTGCCTAATTTCTTTTTGCAATTTTGTTTTCAATTTTGTAAGCTCACAAGTCATCTTGCTAATCACTTTGCATAAAAGTACTGTAATTGCTACATTGTAAGCTAGTGGATAGGGCCTTCTGTTCCTTTAGTATCAATTTGTGTTTGTTTGTATTTTGTATAATTAGCATTGTTCTGTTTTCACAGATTATGAAGTGCTCTGGATCAGGACATTGTGTACAGTGCGCTCGAATATGTTGATGCTTCATAGATGCTTGTAATAATAAAAATAAACCACAGCAATTCAGTGTTTAGTGAATAAACCTCTTGGTTACCACATAGTTCAGAATAGTGTAACACATAGAATGTGACGGCAGATAAGAACCATTCTGCCCATCTAGTCTGCCCAATTTTCTAAATACTTTCATTAGTCCCCAGCCTTATCTTATAGTTAGGATAGCCTTATGCCTATCCCACGCATGCTTAAACTCTTTTACTGTGTTAACCTCTACCACTTCAGCTGGAAGGCTATTCCATGCATCCAATACCCTCTCAGTAAAGTAATACTTCCTGATATTATTTTTAAACCTTTGCCCCTCTAATTTAAGACTATGTCCTCTTGTTGTGGTAGTTTTTCTTCTTTTAAATATGGTTTCCTCCTTTACTGTGTTGATTCCCTTTATGTATTTAAATGTTTCCATCATATCCCCCCCGTCTCGTCTTTCCACCAAGCTATACATGTTAAAATCCTTTAACCTTTCCTGGTAAGTTTTATCCTACAATCCATGAACCATTTTAGTAGCCCTTCTCTGAACCCTCTCTAAGGTATCAATATCCTTCTGAAGATACGGTCTCCAGTATTGCGTACAATACTCCAAGTGAGGTCTCACCAGTGTTCTGTACAATGGCATGAGCACTTACCTCTTTCTACTGCTAATACCTCTCCCTATCCAACCAAGCATTCTGCTTGCATTTCCTGCTGCTCTATTACATTGTCTGCCTACCTTTAAGTCATCAGAAATAATCACCCCTAAATCCCTTTCCTCAGATGTTAAGGTTAGGACTCTATCTAATATTCTGTACTCTGCCCTTGGGTTTTTACGGCCACAATGCATTATCTTGCACTTATCCACATTAAATGTCAGTTGCCATAACTCTGACCATTTTTCTAGTTTACCTAAATCATTTGCCATTTGGCTTATCCCTCCTGGAACATCAACCCTGTTACAAATCTTAGTTAATTAGTTACCCCTTGCATAACACACACTTTACATAATTTAATTGTTTGCTCCCAAACTGTTACCATGTTCACAAATTACATTTTATAGTATTAATATATTTAACTTCTTTAACCCCTTAAGGACCAAACTTCTGGAATAAAAGGGAATCATGACATGTCACACAAGGGGTTAAACCATAATCTTGAAAATGTAATTAGCCTAAAATAGTCAATGCAAATATTTTTTTTCCTTTTCAATCCTGCTATTTTAACTACATTTTGCAATTTAGTTTTCAACACAATCTGCTGTTTTGTTAAACAGATCTCTGTGCCTAAAAACAAACAAAATCCTGAAACCCACAGCACAAACAAACTGTAGTTAGTGGCCTAAAAACACCAGTCCCTCAATAACACATAGGTCAACATTTGACATAGCTGTGTTTCCGGGGGAAATTTTTTTATCGAAGGACAACTATGCAAACTCACACGACACGCTGATTGGCCAGTCGTTGTGAACGGAAGTAGTCTGGTACCCTATTTTTTTTTTATTTTTTTTTATTCACGCTCTGCAAACGATTGGTCGATATCAGAATACGGAGCAGCGATTGGTTGGTGTGGTTACTGCGGAAGAAGCTTTCTGTCGTCATGCGCAGACTCCAGTGTTTGCGGCAGTGGGAGCAAGATGGGATGGCTGGGGCTGCCGCTCGGGTACCTGCTGCTAGGAGGACAAGGGCTTCTTCTTATGTTTTCCCTTATAGCCTCGCAAAACCAAAGCAGCCCTGTCACTCCCCCTGAGCCCAACACCAGCACCACTGCTGCACCCAGAGATCCCCGGGGACCCTTGGTATTGTGCAAGTTCCTGTGAGTGTCCCTAGTCCTGTATGTGTGGAGAGCCACTCATGCTCTGATCCCATGTTAACGTGTGGCAGTCAGTGAGGCCTGTTTGGGGTTATTGTTCCTATAATGCTTACCAAAGGCCATTTTATGGCTCATTAAGACATGTTTTAAAAATATATTATTATTATTATTATTAGCTCAAGTTCTTAAGATAAGACACATCATGGTCAGATGTAACGCCCAACAAAATGGTTATTTTATTTTTTTTTTAGTTCTTAAATATCTTTCCTATGATGAGGATTGTAGAAAAACAAGGATGGTCTGGGCAGTTATTAGGCAGATTTATTGGAATATAATATAACAAGCAAGCATCAATTTGACAAAGACCTCAATTAGAGGTCTTTCTTGCACATCTGATGTTTTTATGCATGATCATGACTAAAGATAACTACACATAATAATGACATTAGAGGAACTTGTAGATGCTGGTCCCAGGATGGAACGGATTTCAGGGTCAAATAATGTACCTATCTCTGTGGTGTTTAGTTCTGGGTGTGCTCACAATCATGGCTTGTACTGGGTACAGAGGTTGCAACCAGCCCAGCAGAATGGGATGAGGCATCTGTCCGCTGGGGCAACCTGTCACAGTGGTCAGTTGATGGGCAACCACAATCTGAATCGGTGGACTGTCTTATTCCTAAAGCATCTTGCAATACCATGGTAGATGTCACTATTGGCATGCATCTTTACTCAAACAACAAACCGCTTTGGTATCTTGAACGAGTCATTTGATGCATGTGGCAGTAATCTGCAAGGCTATTGCCTGTTTTTGCTGCTAACAGTGATACCCACTTTTATGGGAAGGTTTAACTTCAGAACTGGTGCTAGAGACAGTATGTCACAAAACCAATAAGTGGCAGGGAGATACCACTGTCACATGAGAGTAAGTTGATTTCCTTTGCATTTGATTCACAGTTGGTCTAAGTACCACTACTGCATGATGTTTAGAGAACCTTGATCCCACTCTCATTTCTTAGATTGAAAAAAAAAGTCACCAGGGCTGTCAATAAAGCAGCTTGGAAAATGTTGTTCTGGCCTGCTCATTCCTGATTGGAAAAACAGGAAATCACATTTTTCATAGATAAACATTTTAAGAAGACCTTAATTGACTTGATGAATGTGCAAAGGAGATTATAAAGCACTGTTTTGCAGCTACATCTGTACTAAAAAAAAGTTACTGGTTTCTTGTGTTTCATAAATGTGTGCTTTACACTGTTTTCGTATAATAGAAACATAGAATGTGACGGCAGATAAGAACCATTTGGCCCATCTAGTCTGCCCAATTTTCTAAATACTTTCATTAGTCCCTGGCCTTATCTTATATTTAGGATAGCCTTATAATAACATATATTCTCTTATGTATAACTTGTACTCAATAGGCCTGAAGAATTCATAGAATGTGATGATCCAGTGGACCATTCTGGGAATTTAACAGCAAAACAAGATCTGACTTATGGCTGTTCAAAGGTGAATATGACTGCATTACATTTATGTGACGGTTAGCATTTAAAGGGATACAATAGGCGCCAAAAATAAAATTAGCTTAATGAAGAAGTCTTGGTATATACATCATGCCCCTGCAGTCGCACTGCTTAATTCTCAACCATTTAGGTGTTAAATCACTTTGTTTATACAGCCCTTGTCACACCTCCCTGCTTGTAACATGTACAGTATGCCTAAGTACTTCTTGTCAAGAGAGCTCTAATGTTTAAATATCCTTTATTGCACAGTCTTTCATTTAGAATATGTGCTCTGTTAATAGCCTGCTTGACTCTGAAACAGTCTCCTGTGTGTGACTAAAGTTCAATTTGCAGAGCAGGAGATACAGACTTCTAAAGCTAGTTAACATCTAAATGAAATGAAACCATTTTTTCATGCAGGCTTTGTGAGTCAAAGCCAGGCGAGGTGCTACATAAACAAAAGTAATTTAACTATTAAGTGGCAGAGAATTGAACAGTAAGACTGCAGGGGCATCAGCTATACACTTAAACTGCTTCATTAAGCTAAAGTTGGTTTGATGCCTATAGTATATCTTTAGTACTACATCAGTGCCAAGTTCTCACAGCAGCCCAATCTTCCTCGGCTAACGTCAGCTGACGTCACTCCCATGAAAGTAGACAAATGTCAAAGACGAGGATAGGGCGGCACGAGGTGGTGGACATGCCACCATTGGTTGTCTCTTGACAGCATGATCTGCGTGCTGATGACAAGCACCAGATATGTACAGATTTCATATTAGCCAGCCCAGAACTCTTGTTAATTAACTAATAACGGCCAAATTAAGCCTTTCGAGGTTGGAGTTACACCTCCAGCAGGGGAGAGGTTAAACTTTATGTAAAGCGAAACACTGCACATACAGGCTCCAGGCATCATGGCCACTGCAACTCAATAACTGAGGTATTCATGGTGCTTGGAGTAACCCTTTAAGGACAGGTATGATTTTCTAATGACACATATATATTTCTGTAACTCATCATCTACTTGGAATCCATTTTTAAAAAAACAATAGATTATCTGCTGAAGCAGCTGATCATTCTGAAGTGAGTGTCCTGTATACCTTGCATTTGTTTTGTTTTTTTCATATAAAAAGGTAACAACTTCACTTGGGTTATATCTCCAGAGTCCATCTGTGTTTTAATTTTTTTTAAATCTTTTAAATTATTAAATGCATACCCATATGACTTTAAATGTGTTATGGAAGGGGAATCATTTCTGATCATTTGTTTTCCTGAAATACAGCTGTGTTTTTTTTTTTTTTGTTTTTTTTTTAAGATCGGAGGGCAGGCATATGATGACGTAGAGCGCACTGAGGTTGTGTGTAGAGCTCTTGAAGGCATAGAATGTGCTGAGGAACGAATCTTTCGTCGTGGCGGTGTACCATGCATCAAGTAGGTGATTACAAACTGTTCCATTGGTGACAGAATAAGAGAGCAATGTGATTAAAATGATAATTGAGAAAGTAATGGAGAAAAAGTAGAGGATGATGGGCGTATAATGGGAAGAAAGTAACAAAGATGAAGGAGAAACTAAGAAAGGTAGTAGAAGGAATGAGTTGGGTAGTAGATAAGAAAGTTGGGATAGGGGAATGAGGTGGGAAATATATTCTATTTATATGATTATTTATATATGTATATATAATTGATTATTTCAATTATTGTTTTCTCTGTCCAAATAGATTCACCGGTCACTATTTCATTACCACCTTGCTCTACTCCTTCTTTTTGGGCTGCTTTGGTGTGGATCGATTCTGCTTGGGGCACACAGGGACTGCTGTGGGCAAGCTCCTCACTCTGGGTGGTCTGGGTATCTGGTGGTTTGTGGACCTCATCTTGTTAATCACTGGTGGTCTCATGCCAAGTGACAACAGCAACTGGTGCACAATTTACTGATTTATGCAGTAAGGGCATGTCATTGGATGCTAGTGGGTTTACCCATCACGATTATTGGACTAAAGCGCTGAGAATCTAGCCAAAGATGCACTTTTTGTTTTTTTCAAAACGCAGTTAAAGCAAGTACATTCAAAATTGTCAACCCAGAAATGTGTTGGCTTTTCAGCTGCCTGTGAAAGTACACTAAGGAAGCGATAATGACCTTGCAAGATGGTCAGCCATTTGTAATATAATATGTATAAATGTGGATAGTGTTCATGCTGTGTATTGGGGGGGGGAATTAAAAAGATTTCTATTGTAATTTAATTGTGTTGTGACTGATAATATGCACAAAAACGCAAATACAAACCTCTCTTTAGATGTACACTGATCAGCCACAGCATTAAAACCACCTGCCTAATATCCTGTAGTTCACCCTTGTGCTGCCTAAACGGCTATGATGTGTTGAGGCACATCTGAAAGTGTCATGTGGTATCTGGCACCAAGACATTAGTAGTAGATCCTTTAAGTACTAGTTGCTAGGTGGGGCATCCATGGATCAGATTTGTTGTTCCAGCACATCATACAACTGCTCAATCTGATTGAGATCTGGGGAATTTGGAGGCCAAGGCAACACATTGAACTCTGTCATGTTCCTCAAACCATTCCTGAACAGTTTTTGCAATGTGACAGGGTGGCGTATCCTGCTGAAGGATGCCACTGACATCAGGGAACACCATTGCCATGAAGGGGTGTACATGGTCTGCAACAATCTCTAGGTAGGTGGTGTTTATCAAAGTAACATCCATATGAGTGCCAGAACCCACAATGTTCTAAAATTTTTCAGAGCATACCTCCCATAGTGCACCCTGCTGCCATCTCTTCCCCAGATTAACAACGCAAACACCTGGCCAACCACCTGATCTAAAAGAAAATGTGATTAGTCAGACCATTGTTTCATGGTCCAGTTGTGATGTTCACATTCACATTGAAGTCGCTTTCAGCAGTGGACCGGTCTGTGGCTACACAGCCCCATACGCAGCAAACTGTGATGTACTGTGTTTTTTTTTTTTTAAATCTTTATTTTTGTTGTGCACAGTTTAACAGTACACGCTTATCTAGCCATGACAGCATTCACAAGCTATTTTATCACAAACAATGTTGGTCACTAGTGTGGCAATCCAAGTAACAGCACATTTGTTTGTTTTTTTTGTGTTTTTTTTGGGTGGAAAAAGCAGAAACATTTTAGGTAACGTAAGGAAAGATTAATCAGGCATTAAGTAGCATATAGGTAGGCAGTAATCTGCCCACAAGATTGATAAAACACATTGCTTAATGGGATGTATATTCAAGAGTTTTGTGTTATATGGCATTCTTAATGGTTCTGCACTATTTTACTATAGGTAGTCATCTCAAGCTAGGTAAACTGTCTGAGGTCACATTAGTATATAGTACATTAAGCTCGAGTTGCAGGCTATTCTGGTACGCCTAGCTATCAGATACAAAGCAGGCCTGTCCTTATATTGCCTATCGGGTGTCAGGAGAAGAAACACACTGAATCCCCTTATCCACACAAACACATCACATATAACAGTTGCCTCAGTGGGTAAGAGATTAATAAGATAACACAATTAACTAAAATAAAACTATGAATATGGTGTAGCATGTGTACCACTGAAAGTCCATGAGTCCCTTGTGGTCAGGTGAGGTAGGCATTAGCGATTGGCGCCTTGCTAAGGACTCTTAAGGTATGGTCATCCCACTCCCTGCATGGGGAAGGTAAAGTCCCACTTGGTGTCCTGAGACCTGTATTCCTCCGGTCCCCGGTCAAGTTGGCCTGCCGACCCTCTCCAGCACTGTGTTTCCGTCTGGGTCGGTCTGTGAGGGTAAGTCCCTTGTCGGTTGGCGCTGTTAGGCCGATGTTCAGACCCAGTCCTGTGCTTCCTGGGGGACCATGTGGAAGGGAGAGTCTTGGTGTTTGGCCCGGGTCTCCGGTTCCGCTTTGGGTCTTTTCGAGGCCTTAATGGTGGGTTCTTTCATGTTGCCACCGGAGGTGTTACGTGCTGAGGCATCGCTGTGGTTGGCAATTCCAGTGTGGGGCTCTGCTTTCTGCTAGTCAGCTTGGCCCAGAATTCTGTGAGGAGTTTGTCGAGCCTGGACTCCAGGTCGAGTTGCTGGCCCCGGGGACATGCGGTATCCGCCATTTTAGTTGTCAGCATGTCGAGTTTGGCGTCCCATTTCGGGGTTGGCGACTTTAGTAGCTAGGATATCCCACTACGGCAGGGCGGGGGGGAAGCCGTGTGTTGTGGAGACCTTCGGTGAGAGGCGCCGAGCTGGCGGAGGGATCGGCCGTCTCCCATGCGCCGTCTGAGCAGGCCCCATCTTAACCTCAGGTCTATCCCCGTACTGTATTCGCCGATGTCGGTCTTTTTCTAGATTGTGCGTCGCTGAAGCTGTGGCCCCTTATCTCCTGGGTAGAAAAACAGGCATTGTGTAGGGTGGTCGCGTAAATTTTGTCATGTTTTTGTCCGTTTGGCCCGGAGCTCGTCTGGCATGTGACTGTTCAGCTGGCCGCCAAGCTCCGCCCCCGTACTGTGTATTTTGACACCTATCTATCACGGCCAGCTTTAAGTTGTTAAGCAACTTGAACTACAGTAGCTCTTCTGTGTGATTGGACCAGACTTGCTAGCCTTCAGTGAGCAATAGGCACCCATGACCCTGACACTAGTTTACAGATTTACAGATAACGCTGTCCATCCTCCAGTCCAACTCAAACTTTCCTTGCATCACTTGTATTATGTCATTGGGTATCCCTATCCTCAGGGCCTGAGTCTTTGTCACGTTTAGTTTGTAATACGAACTGTCTCCGTATTTTTTTATTACATTTAGAAGATGCGGCATTGATATCAGTGGCTGGGTCAGGGTCAGCAGTATGTCGTCCGCAAATAGATTGGCTTTATTATATTTTTCCCCGATGCTCACCCCGTGTATGGATTCATGGTGTCTGATCTTGGATGCCAGTGGTTCTAGTGCCATGACGTACAACAGGGGTGACAATGCACACCCCTGTCTCGTCCCGTTAGAAATACTGAAGGGCTCAGACAGGAATCCTGCATTTAGTACCTGAGCTGTTGGAGCGCTATACAGCGCTTTGACCGCTGACCTGAGCTCCCCTGGCACGCCAAATCTTGTCATAACCGCTTCTAGGAATGCCCAGTGCTGGCGATCAAAGGCCTTTTCCGCGTCCAGGGAGATGATCAGGCCCCCTTCTTTATGTAACTAGGGTAAGCTGTGTAGTATATTTAGTACCTTGCGTGTGTTTTCCGCCCCTTGTCTCCCCATCACAAACCCAACTTGGTCATTATGAATTAATTGGGGGAGGAGGGCACTCAGTCTCATTGCAAATAATTTGGGAAATATTTTCCCGTCCGTGTTGAGCAGGGAGATGGGTCTGAAGTTTTGGGGGTTGTTGGGTGGCTTCCCTGGTTTTGGTAGTGTTATGATATGTGTTTCTTGTGGTAATTCCTGTGTGATGGTCGCTTCTGTGTACGTGAGTACGAGTTGGGGCGTCAATTGGTGTTGGAAGTGTTTATAATAGTTGTTATCCAGACCATCGGGGCCTGGGGCTTTGCCCTTTGGCAGGTGTTTTATTACATTTTGGATTTCCTCTCCTGTTATGGGCTTAATGAGGTCCTTAGCTTGTTGGGACGTGAGTGTTGGTAGGTCAACTGTAGCTAGGTATGAGTTTGTGCTCTTGTGTGGGTTGAAATGTGGTGTTGTTTTTATTTATATTGTACAGGGCGGCATGGTAGTTTGCAAATTCATTACAGATGTCTTTAGGTATCAGTTTCTTCTCTCCTGTTGGGGTCAGGAGATAGGCTATTTTTTTTTTGTTCGCCCTTTGTTCCTGTAGTCTCCTAGCTAAGAGCTTGCTGGCTTAGTTCCCCTGTGTGTATTGCCTCGTTTTTAATCTCTGGAGCATGTACCCTGTCTGCTCTAGTGCGTGTTGGTGTAGTTTGTTCGTGAGAATGGAGATTTGCAGTTTCAGGTCAGGGGACGGTGAGATTTGGTTACGGGTATTCAGGTGGTGTAGTTCTCTTCTCCATTGCGTGATTTGGGCCGTGGATTGTTTGCGCAAGTATGCTGCTCATTTTATAAATAAACCTTTTTAACTACTGATTTGTGAGCAGCCCAAATTGTGCTCTGGGGCATTCCCAGGGTGGCATTTTCTTTAAAGTAGGTGTTCAAAGCCTCTTCCACCTCCTTCTTAAATGTAGGGTCGTTTAGCAAGGAAGCATTTAGCCTCCATGGGCTGCGCTGTTTAAAATCGTATTGGTCCCTGACTGTCAGTGTAACCGGGGTGTGATCTGTCCAGGTAATCTGGCCTATGTCACAGTTTGTAATTTGATTTTAGTCTCTGACCATGTAGTAGAATCCCATCAATCCTCGAGTATGTGTAATGGACATGTGAGAAATGTGTGTATGCCTTCTCCGAGGTGTGTGTTACTCTCCATGTATTGTAATAATGGTGGAGAATGAGGAGTTTCTGTTTGCACTGCCTGTGGAGTATTCTATACCTTGGGCTGTGTCTTGAAATGTTAGTGTCTAGTTTTGGGTCCCAGACATGGTTAAAGTCCCCACAGACTATGGATATCCCTTCTTGCATGATGTCTAATTTCCGAAGTAGATGTTTTAGGAAGTGATCTTGCATAAAGCACCTCTGGCAGGCATCGGCTGAGTGAGCTCCTGGACTGAGCAAGGGGGAACCTAACCCCCACCAGTTTCTCCTGCACACAGTCATCACAGGGAGAGCAACACAAGTTAACTTTAATTGTCTCCTATCTTATCCAACACTATTTTGATGATCGTTTAGTTTATGACCCTGTGGAAGCCTCCTGGGGACTTTTAATTATTGCTTACATCACTTTAGTGACCCAGCCTGTCTTTTACTACTCAAGTCTAAACAAATATATAGTCCGTTTATAAGCAAAGTTTACCCTGCTCAGCCACCTATCTGACTAGTTTGTCTCTTGCCATTTAAAATATAAAATGTGCAAGCTTATTGATATTTACCACTGCAGCCTTGTTGTATTACTGCTCAATTCATTTTGATCAAATGTCTATGCAAACCTCTATGTCTCAAATGCACACAAAAATAAAGAATTTAAGAAAAATAGCTAGGAGGAAGACACTTGGTAATACTATAAACTATGAAAAATTCAAATAATTTCTCAGCAGGCGAGAGTGGGCTAGGAAAAAACACTCTGTCACAGTCCCTTGTAAAAACGGAGTAAGAATTGTGGACCTCAATCTGTACCTCGGCATGTCAGAGAGTGCTAAGAGAGACTCTCAGTCACAGTGCCTACATCAAAAAAGATATAGTGAAAGCAAATGGAAAATGGGGGTGAAGGAAATTGAAAGAGCTGCCCTAAAAGAAAAAACGGAGGAAAGGGCTTAGCTAACAGAACAATCCCTTAACACCAATCTACAACCAATGCCTATACCTCCGCTTACCATAGAACCAGCACTGACAGGCAGTGAAACTACCTAAATTAAGAGGTACTAAGAGTTTATCTCTGCACATGAGAGCTGACTCTATAAGTGCCTAAATGAACCAACTGCTGTCCCTGTCCTGGCAGTAACAAAACAGTCTATCTGTCTGTCTACAAAAAGAGGTTATCTATGCGTTTTTTTTTTTTATTTATGGTAGCTTATAATGCTATCTCCCCAAAATTTTTTTGCTGGATATCATAAAAAAAAAAAAGCCCATTCAATAGAGGAGGGGGCGGTAACCTTCAGTACTGAAGGTGTTTTGGACGACCTCTTCCCTGATGCTCTGCCAGCATTCTGTAGGAGCATTATGAGAGATGTAGTCCACAACATTTGGAGTGCCGAAGGTTACCTACCCCTGCCATAGAGCCTGTTCACAGTTCTTTAACACCGTTATGGTGTTCTGTGCAATCCTACATGAAGTTGGTTTTAGAGCCTGTAGCGTGGCATAGAACTTTTCATATTTGGTCTGTATGGGGTTAAATCCTGTCTTCTGTTGCCATTTTTACTGGCCCCCGACCTTTAGATGAGATGTTTGCTTCGCTCAGGGCCGTCTTCAATGCGGGGCAAAAGGGGCAGCTGCCCCGGGCCCTGTCATCCTAGGGGGCCCAAAGCAGTTGCCCCTTCAGCCTGCCGGCCATCGTGGTACGTGCGGCCCATTGGAACTACCACCGTGGGCCGCACAATGAGGTTGCCCATGATTTAAGAGCAACCCGATGGCAATGTATTTTCGAGGGGCTCAGTCAGCGCTGCGACGCTTTAAGAGTGCGACCGGGCCCCCTGTGATGATTTCACAATGCTGGGAGGAGGTCACTGCCTCCCAGCATTCACCGAGCACCGCACAGGAGGAGAAGGAGAGAAGGGAGGAGTGAGTCAGAGCTCACACTTATGACATGAGGCAGCTACTGGACCCCAGGGGAGTCACCCTCCTGCACCTAAAAGGTAGGAAACAGGAGGGTGTTGCATGTTTGTATGTGTATCTGTTTTTGTGTGTCTGTATCTGTGTGTCCATTTGTGTATCTGTCTTTGTGTCTGTATGTGTATCTGTGTCTGTATGCATATATGTATCTGTGTGTCCGTATGCCTATCTGTGTCTCTGTATCTGTTTGTACCTGTGTAACTGTGTGTCTTCATGCGCATCTGTTTCTTTGTATGTTTATCTGTGTGTGTTTGAATGTGTATTTGTGCGTGTAAATGTTTGTCTGTATGTGTGTCAGTGTGTGTATCTAAATGTGTATCTGCTTGTGTGTCTGTGTATCTGTATGTGTGTTAGTGTGTGTGTCAATGTGTGTTATTGTGTCTGTATCTGCATGTGGGTCTGTGTATGTATATGTGTGTTATTGTGAGTATCTGCATGTTTGTCATTGTATTGGTCTGTTTATCTGTATGTTTGTCAGTGAGTGTATCTGTGCATCTGGATGTGTGTAGATGTGTATCTGCATGTGTGTCTGTGTATGCACTTGTGTGTATATGTATCTGTCTTTGTTTGTCTGTACCTGTGTATGTGTGTATCTCTATGTATGTCAGTGTCTGCATCTGTATGTGTGTCAGTGTGTGTATTTTGTCTCCGTAAAAATGAGTGCGGCTAAGTGTGTTTTTGTTTTGTTTTTATGTGGGGGTGGAGTGTGTGATTTCATGCTAGGCCCAGGGGGCTCAAGCAAATGCCTGCCCAGGGTCCAATCAGTATTAAAGACGGCCCTGGCTTCGCTGGAAGCCTGGTTTAATAACTGCTCATACCACTAACCCCAGGTATCAATAGCTCCTGTTTGTCAGCTAACACCATTTTTAGTAGCCCAAGACTGACCGATGAGTTCTGTGCAGCACTGCACAGAGCCCTTCAACTCATTCATAAAAAACACGGATAGGCGATTGCTCTCAGCTGCGGTTTTTGTGAGGTGCAGACAGCTTTAGGGAGACCCTCCAGGTTCTTCCAGCCTGTCCCCGGACAATATGCACCGGTGCCAGCTTCCCAGTACAGATCTCTATACAATCGGCTGTAAACCAGCCAGTAGATGCCGACAGAATACCACACAGTGGGGGAGTTTTAAGGTTAGGATAGGGGTATGGTTCGAATTAGGGGTAATGTAGGGTAGAAATATACTTAGAGTTGCAGTAGGGTTAGCTGTAGGGCTAGGGTAAGTTAAGCGTTAATACTAGGTGTGGGTTAATGCTGTTTTAGGGTCAAAGATATTGTAGGGTGAAGTTAAGGGTAAGATTAGGGTAGGCATGCAGTTACAGTTAATGTAAGCATTGGGTAAGGGGTATAGCGTTTGTGTGTGGGTTGGTATAGGGTTAGCGTTAAAGAAAAAATTAATTTAGATCCTAACCATATTACGTGGAACAATCAGGGCTCATATACTTGCACTGGACATGTAAAAATTATTATAAGCAAAAATAAGAAAAAAATATACAGTTTTTTTTTGTTTGGTTTTTCAATTTCTTTCCATGTAAAAAAAAAAAGTGCACATGTAGTGTTGTGTTAGGTATACATTTAGGATGTTGCATGAAAGCCCTTTCTATCCTTTAAAATTATATATATATATATCTATATATATATATATATATAGATATATATATATATAATGTGTATAATGTGTATGGGGGCACTTGAAGAGAAACCCTGAAATTACAGTGGAACAAACCTGTAACTTAAATTTAATGTTTTGTTTTGGTTGAAAACATGGACAATTGCCTCCATCCTTAAGGGGTTAACATTTAAATGTCAGAATTTTTCTTTATTGATTACTGAAAATATTACTTCAGCAATTTAAACACTTTTCTTTTCTGAATTTTCTCCAGCAGTGCCACATGCTTAAATATTGCATACCTATACCAGTTAACCTTTCACCAATTTACGTCTATGCCCAGTCTTGGAAATATAAAACATTTTGGAAAATGTTTACCTTTTTGTTGTGCTAAAATCAAACACAGTTCCTCTTTAAATGCAGGAGGGGGTAGCGTAACTTTTCACTTATGGAAATGTAATGTGCACAGAGTGAGCATATGGTCATCTATGGGAATCAGACAAAATCAAAACCTCATTAAAGGGACTCTAGAGTCACCAAAACAATTTTAGCTTAATTAAGTCATTTTTGTGTATAAATCATGCCTTTGCAGACTCACTGCTCAATTCTCTGCCATTTAGGAGTTAAATCACTTTGTTTATATAGCCTTAGGCACACCACGCTGCATGTGACCTATACATCCTTCCTAAACACTTCCTGTAAAGAGTCAACTACTGTTTACACTTCCTTTAGTGCAAATTATGCTTAATTTAAAATGTCTTATCTCCTGCTCTTTTAATAGCTTGTTATAATCTACAGGAGCCTATTTTATGTAATTAAAGTTCAAATTACAGAGCAGGCGATAAAAACTTTTAAAGTAAGTTACATCTTATTGAAAATTAAACCATTTTGTTTCCATGCAGGCTGTGTCAGTCACAGCCAGGGGAGGTGTGGCTAGGGCTGCATAAACAGAAACAAAAGTGATTTAAGTCCTAAACAGCAGTGAAATGAGCAGTGCAACTCCAGAGGCACTAAAGAGAGAGCACTAGAACTGCTTCATTAAGCTAATGTTTTTTTGTTGACTATAATGTCCCTTTAAGATTTGAAGTTTAACTGGGTTATTTACTAAAGGAAAAATTGTCTGGAATTCAAAGTGAATTTAAAATGTTAGGCCAAAGTATCCAAACGAAAAAAAAAAATATCTTCAGCTATGCTACCAGATTGGTTCCTTGGCCTTAAATTTTGCTCTAAATTCCTGACAGTTCACACTTTTTTAGTAAATAACCCTCTAAAAAAAATAAATCATAAAATAGATGGGCCACTCTGCTCATTACCAGTGTCACAAAATAAATACTTTTTTAATATACATATATATTACCAACATTTTAAAGTGCACTGTGTTTTTTTATTCAACGTAGGACCATTTATAGATACATCATTAGTGTAGCAACATGTTTCATGTGAGACTGCATAGTCAAAATGTGTACTCTTTCTGTACACAGTTTGACTTGATTTTTTAAAAGCTATTAATTGTGTAGACATTATACATTATAGTACACTGCTATGTACCATTAAGAGCTAACTTTCCTCATTAGCAGACTGCTTTCATGAGATGGTGTACTTAATTTATATATTTTTCTAGCATGCAATATACAATATTACTGGAATAATACAATGTATGCAAAAAAATAAAATAAATTTACATAGAAAAAGAAGTAATACATGCTCTTTAATCCTACATAATGCATTTGTTTGTTTCAGGCTCACTAGAAAAAAAAAAACATGGATAATAAGAGGAAATTAATTAAAACAGTATATCTTGTAAGAAATATGCTTTGTAAAGTTGTTCCATGTGGCCACAGAAGCCAAGATACTTGAAATTAAATTGATTTTCTTCACTAGGTTGGGGAAGTCAATTTTCCTATGCATTTTTCACTTCTTGTTGTGAAAAGGCTGTCAGGTGCGTAATGGAAAATATCAAATAACGTTTTATCGAGATCGTATTTATGGAATACACATACATGTAATATGGAGATGGGTCAATGACATTGAATACACCAGGGTGGAAAGAATCCACAAAAAGTGGACTTGCGTGTTTGTGCAAGTGTCTTTATACATGCAGACAATTAAGAAAATGCCCCTTCATAGTGAATCAATGTATCTTCTGCTGTAGCACTTTTAACATTACTTCTGCATTGTATGTTCATTCACCTCACTGACTCATGGACTCTAGGTAATGATTGCAGTTCAGTCTAAGAAATTTTTTTTTTTTTAAAGAGTTTAACTTTAAACTGATAGCGACTGATAGCTTTCTTTCCATAAGTTTTCATATTATTATAACATTGCGAAAAGTCCTTTCATAAATGCAAATTACCTTTATAATTTGTGAAACCTAAATCAAAGGCACACATTGGAATAATCAAGTGTTAATGTACAAAAGATATATTTTAACTTTTTAAGAGAAAGTGTATTGCATGTTAGCCCCGATTTAAATGCCTATGAAAGTTCTAAAACTCTGAAAAGCATCAGTATTTAAATTAGGAGTCTAAACCTGTGGCTTCCAATCTCTCCTTGATCTCAACATATTTTTAAATTAATCTGGTCCGCCATGAGCAGTGTCTGTCTGCATGTCTGTCTTCCCTAATGTGAAACGTTTAAATTGTTTACGTTTGTGCTTTACTGTGGTGACATTTCTGCATTCTCTAACATTACAGCACACTTACAACAAGTACAAACACAGACGATTCTTTGCAAAAATCTATTTTGTGGCAGAGTTCTGCGAAAAGAATATTCACCATAGAAACTAGCGGGATGTGCCTAATAATTTCTTCAGTTTCAAAGCTTTGCCCTAGAATTGTATTTTAAGATTCCCAAATGCATTCTGCTTTTACAACATAAAATGCAAAAATCATCTAAGCTTAGCGGATATGATTTTTAAAATGTGTCCATATTTCACGATTTCCCAGAATATCCCCTCTTCTTACTCCACCTCCAAATTTTTCAAATATGAAAGAATCTCAAATACATATTAGCATCATCGGTTTATATGTGCACCAGTATAATGCTTTTAGTAAAAAATACCTGTGAAAAATGGAGTATTTGATTATTGCATGCACTCTTCATTTATGTATGCATTCCTAGTTCTCTCCTACCAGTGTAAATTGTATTTTTTGAGGAATATTTCATAAGACTTTCAAAATTAAAAATATATTCTACTCTCTTTCCAAAATTATAGGTGAGACCACGTGTTGGGCATGTAATATCTCTCCATACATACCCAACAGAAGAAATCTGTCTTTTATATTGTATTTGTGTAATTACCAATTGGTCTCCTCTACAGTTTGCTATACTTTCATTCACCCCACGATCTGTATCTGAATAATATACTCCAGCAGCAGCAGGAAATTTCCATCTAATGAAAGATCAGAGACCAGCTAATATGTGAGTTCCAAGTCTAAGACTTCAGTGCATAATGCACTCAATACGATAAGAGGTCATGATGAACAATAGCGGAATGTTGGAGGCTAGGTATGGTCTTAACCCATTTCCTCGGGCACCACGTTTAGGATGATGTCTTCATTCCCACGACGTACCACAATGGAGAGAGTATCATTGGCCCGTACTGCCTCGCTCACCTCCTCAGTGCTGGTCACAGACCTCCCATTAATGCTTATGATAACATCATGATCCTTCATTCCAGCACTACATTAAAGATACAGACAATAAGGAAACTTGCAACAATAGAAAACAGGACAGAAACACAGACAGGCATATGATTACACATAACTTCACCTTTCAACTTTCCAAGGCTGATTCAATTACTACCATTAAAATGAGTAATAATAGTATCAAAACCCAATGGCATACTTTTAATAGAACATTTCGCTATGTTTAAAGTACATACATCACCAAATGATGGCATATTTGTAACTTAACACACTTTCACTGATTATTAAACTTGGAGGTTTGTTTCGGTCCGAATTGCAACTCATTCGAACTTAGGACGATCTGGTGATCATTCAAAATCCTGAACTCCAAGCCTAGAGTTAGCTGAATCACGAACCAAACAATACACGCAATAGCTGAATATGGTCATATTTATTTGTGATTCTCAATTCTATCTGTGACACCAATAAAAGAGATGATTGACAGAAAAAAGATGATTTATGGCTAGCATACATTGATCAAATGTTGATTTCAAACTCAGATTATGTAATAAAGATAAAAAGGATTAGCAGTAAAATAATATAGTAATAGATAATATGTACATATAGTTGTTTTTTTTCACTGCTCCTCCTTTTCTCTATTGATTACCTTTTCTCACTTGATTTTATGTATACATTTTGCAGTAAACGGATTGCTCCATTTTCAGGGCTTTTTGGTTTGTCTGATTCGTTTTCCCTTTTTTTTTTTCTTTTTCAGTAGAAGTGTTTTGGCCGAAACAAATTTTTTTCTCTATGCACAAATCTACTGATTATTGTGAAAAAAAATAAAGAAATAAAGCAAAAACTTACATTTGATCTAATGCCGAAAGCAAACAATCCTCCCCCAGTGACATCACTCCCCCTGACTGCAGATGGAGGAAGTCCCTACAGCTAAGCTTAGGAGAAGGCAAGGACAGCTTAGAAGGGGCGCCATAATGCACCTATGTGCTTTAACTTTATTTTTTGGTGGTCATGGTGCTTCAAGTAACTGTTTAAGCATAATACTAGGTAGTCTGTTATGTTGTGATAGTATAGTGATAAATATTTTCTTCCCTTCAGATTAGAGGCAGTGCATTACAACAGGGATTTTTTATCTGGAGGGAAAAACAGGCAGGCAAACCCCTCAAATGTTTAGAACCTCCCCCCAATTCCCATTAGCACTATCAAGTGCTATTAACACAACAGTTCCCCAGTTCTTCAGGTGAGGTAGTCAGGTTTACCCCTGATTCCAGATGAAGCAAGGTGAGGGAGCTGTGGCTCAGGAGACCCTGCTTCCGATACTACCATCAAGATGGCCAGCGGGTGAGCTCGCTGCAGGCTTAGACAGGTGGAACGCATGCTGGGTGCCTATGTTCCACCAATACTTATAGATTCCGCCAATATTGTGCCGGGTGCTGGGTAAGGCGAAAGCGCGCACAAGCTGGGAGGTCTTGGCTGTGGAATGCACGTGGATTTCTGAATTTCAGGCGTCAACATTTTTATTTTTTTTCTCTAATTTAGTTTTTTCAGGACCTTGGAGTTGGAGGCTATTTAACCAGCAGCAACTAACTGTTTGCCAGGTGCACTCAGAACCTGTTGCAAGTGTGTTCTCACCTTCCCTCCAGCACACTTTGAGGCCATTAAGGTAAGTCTGCCTGAATTTTTTTTTATATATTTTGAAATGTTATATTTGATTTTTTTTTTTTCTTTTTCTCTCTCATTCTCTTTTTTCTTTCTAGTATGTCTAATCCTGAGGCTACGGACACACCTACAGAGAAACGGAAATGCACGTCTAAATCGAAAAACATTTAATCTGTGCCTCATGTTGTCAACCCATGCCAGATGGCTATAAAAGAAAGATTTGTACTAGCTGTTCCAAAGAAGCTTCAGATGAATCCACAAAATTCTGAAATGTCAGCGTTCCTAAGCTGGTTCCAACAGCAGACTTTTGTTGACATGCAGTCCGCAGCATTTTAGTCTGCACAGGCCTCAGTATCCCAGGATTCAGCCTTAAAAGCTCAGACTAAGAAAATACAAAGGTATTGGGAAGAGTCTAATGAAAGCTCTGATTTCTCAGTTGCAGGCTCTTTTGGAGACGATTCTTCAGGAATGTTTAGGAAAACTAATTAAAGAGGTTCAGATTCTGATGGGAAATCAGGAACTAATTAAATCTAAAGGGAAAAAATTGAAAGCTTTTCTGTTTAATACAGATTTAAAAGATCTAATATTAAGGAAATGGAAATTTCCTGGGAAGAAACCTTTCCTGTCCAGGCATTTTCAATCACAATTTTCTAAGTCTATACCTGTAGTAGATGTTCCTGTTTCGGGTGGGGTGGTCACATAGAACAAAGCAAGAAACAAAGTCTTTGGGTTTCCAAAGACGTAAAGAAATCATCAAATTACAAAGAGCTAAAAGCTATTTGGTTGGCTCTTCTGGTATTCCAGAAACAGATTCAGGATCATCATGTCCAGATAAGATCGGAAATTCAACTGCAGTACCATATATCAACAAGCAAGGAGGGACAAGGTCTGCTGGTCTAGAACATCTTTGCTCTCAAAACATGGTCTGGTCAGAATGTCACCTTCGGTCGATATCAGTGGTGCATATAAAAGGGCAATTTAACACCCTAGCAGAAGCCCTCAGTCGTCAACATCTAAAGCAAGCGGATTGGTCGCTTTCTATTCCGATTTCCAGACGAATATCAGAGAAGTTTGGAGTTCCAGAGTTAGACCTCATGGATTCAAGAGAAAACAGGAAAATGAAAAGGTTTGCTTCTCTGAATCCATCAGACAGACCAGAGGTTTTAGACGCTGTCGATTCCTTGGAATTTCAACCTAGCTTATATTTTCTCTCCAATCTCTCTAATCTCAAGGATTCTACAAAAGATCAGGTCAGAAGAGGTAAAGATAATTATAATCCTGCCATGGTGGCCAAGAAGGAGTTAGTTCTCCATTCTAATGTCCCCAACTCCATATATTGGAAACTTCTGCTATCAGTGGATATTCTGGAACACTCCATGGTTCCTCTTCATACAATAAAGAAATTCAACCTAACTGCCTGGTTTCTGAATACCAGATTTTAAAGAACAAAAGTTTATCCTCGGAAGTTATCGATATTTTGATGTGTGCTAAGAAGGATTCAAGGTCTAAAGTGTATTCTAGAATTTGAAAGAAATTTTGTATTTGGTGCTTCAAGATAAAAGAAAATCCTCTATCAGCCTCCATCCCGAATATTCAGAGATTTCTGCAGTTGGGCTTTGCCAAAGGTTTTCATCCGGCTACTCTCAAGGTCCAGATCTCTGCCATTAATTTTTTCTCGTTTAGGTGTCTGGCATCAAATATTTTAATTTTTAGATTTTTCAAAGCTTTGTCCTGTTTGGCTCCATCCATCAGGGAGACGTTTCCACCATGGGACCTCAATCTTGTGTAAACGGCTTTGTGTGAACCTCCATTTGAACCTCTGGATAAGGTTTTAAAACTGGATCCATCTTTTATTCCAAAAGTTTGTTCTACGTCTAATCTCAATCAGGAAATTGTCCTACCTACGTTTTGCCAAAACCCTTCTAATGCCTTGGAAGAAAAATATCATTGCCTGGACGTCAAAAAATCTTTGCTTCAATACTTGGAACGTACCAAGTCATTTAGAAAATTGAACAGACTGTTTGTCCTCTTTCATGGTACACGAAAAGGTTTGATGGCATCCAAGAGTTCTCTGGCTAGATGTTTGAAAGACTCCATTCGGTTGGCATATTCTGCGTCTAAAGTTCCTCCACCTATATCTCGTAAAACGCATTCTACAAGAGCCATGTCTACCTCCTCCTGGGCCTTAAGGGCCTCAGCTTCTCCAACACAAATTTGTACTGCAGCTACTTGGAAGTCTCTTCACACATTTTCAAAGCATTAAAAATTAGAGATACTGGCCTCGGAAGAAGCTTCTTTTGGGCGCAAGGTGTTGCAAGCAGTGGTCACATGAGTCCCACCCTTAGGGATTGCTTGTTTTATCTCTGTTGTAATGCACTGCCTCTAATCTGAATACAATTTTTACTTACCGTAATTTTTTTTCCTGAAGATTAGAGGCAGTGCACACGTCCCTCCCTTTTTCTTTCTTTTTTAATTTTTTACAAATTTTTTGTTGTGCATAGATTACAAACTTTCTTACGCTGCCACAATAGCAGAGGTAAGAGTGAAAAAACACATAGATAACTGTGGTAATAGATATAACAGCACCCTTTTAAATATATATGTATGCAAGATGTAAAGATATACATAGGCTAAACAGTTGTATTAATAGGTGTATACAAAATCAAGATGGTATAACAAGCTTAGTTTATGCAAGAGCTGAAGCTTTTCAGACTTGCAAGAAAACTATATGCTTTTGCCTCTAAAATGTTATACATTGCTAACTCACTGCACTGGATGAAATAGCAAGAAAGAGGGGAAACTAAGGTTAACACAAGGTAATAGTAAAGATTCTATATGCCAGTGATGGCGAACGTTTTTGAGCCCGAGTGCCCAAACCGCAATACATGGCAACTTTTTTCCTCTCAAAGTCAGCAATTTCCTCGGCAATTAAGCCTGAATACTGAGGTTTAAGTTTAGAAAAAACAACTCATACAGTTGTCCGAACTAATTCTCCTCTTCTCCCCCCCCCCAGCTTCTTCCCTTCTCTACCCACAGCATATCCCCGTCTCCCCCCAGCATCTTCTCCTCCTCTCCCCTTCTCCCCCCAGCACCTCCTTCTCCTCTCCTCTCCTCTCCCCAGATTCTCCCCTTCTCCCCCCTGAATCTCCTCCTCTTCTCCTCCTGATTCTCCTCTTCCTCTCCCTCAGATTCTCCTCTTCCTCTCCCTATCTCCCCCAAGCATATCCCGCCTCCTTTCCCCCAGATTCTCCTCATCCTCTCCCCATTTCCCCAGCATCTGCTCCTCCCCTTCTCCCCCAGCATCTCCTCCTCTCCCTCCAGCATCTCCCCCTCCTCTCCCTCCAGCATCTCCCCTCCTCTCCCTCCAGCATCTCCCCTCCTCTCCCCCCAGCATCTCCCATCCTCTCCCCTAGCATCTCCTCCTCCTATCTCCCCTAGCAAGCATCTCCTCCTATCTCCACCTAGCATCTCCTCCTCTCCCCAGCATCTCTCCTCTTCCTTCCCCCTAGCATTCTCCTCCTTCTCTCCCCCTAGCATCTCCTCTCCTCTCTCCCCTAGCATCTCCTCCTCCTCCCTCCCCTAGCATCTCTCCTCTCTCCCCCTAGCATCTCCTCCTCTCTCCCCCCAGCATCTCCTCTTCTCTCCCCTAGGCATCTTCCCCTCACTACCCCAGCATATCCCCCCTCCCCCAGCATATCCCCCTCTCCCTAACAGCACATAAATAATGTGTTTTTTTTTGGTGCTGGTGGGAGTTTGAAGTCCTCCCAGGCTCCCCACCTCCTTCCCGTTGCTGTAAGTGGGTGTGGGCGCGAACACTGACTTACGTGCTGTTCCAGCACTGCCCTCTCTGCTGATGCTGCCGGCAAAACAGGAAATTACGTCAATCAGGCGGCGGCGCCTGATTGACGTCATTTCATGTCTCCCGGCGGCATCAATGGTGGGAGCAGTGCTGTAACAGCACGTAAGTCAGTGCATGGGTGCTGTGTGTATGTGTGTGAGAGGGGCTCTGTGTGTGAGAGGGGTGCTGTGTGTGTGTGAGAGGGGCTCTGTGTGTGAAAGGTGTGCTGTGTGTGGGGGGTTGCCGTTTGTGTGTGAGGGGGGTTGTGTGTGTGCGGGGGGGCTGTGTGTGTGTGTGTGTGCGGGGTTGCTGGGTGCTCTGTGTGTGGGGGTGCTGTGTGTGTGTGTGTGTGTGTGTGTGTGTGTAAGGGGGTGTTGTGTGGGGGGTGCTGGGTGCTCTGTGTGAGGGGTGGTGTGTGTGTGTGGGGGGGGTGCTGTGTGTGTGTGTGTGTGTGTGTGTGTGTGTGGTGCTGGGTGCTCTTTATGAGAGGGGTGCTGTGTGTGAAAGGGGTGCTGTGTGTGTTGGTGGGGGAGAGGGGAAGGGCTGCAAATATATTATTACAATCTGTATCCCCCCTCCCTTCTGCTTACCTTATGTGAAGGAGGGGGACACACATAAATCCCTGGTGGTCTGGTGGTGGTAAGATGGACAGGTCCTGCAGCTCTCCTGTCCTCCCTCCCGCGCAATGCTGTGTGGAGTGTTGCCATGGCAACGCTCCACACTGATTGCTCGCGGGAGGACGGGAGAGCTGCTTCTCAGATCCCTCCCCCTGTCCTCCCGACACGGAAGCAGAGTGCCTACTCTGCATTGATGGCGAGCTATGGCCGCGTGCCCACAGAGAGTGCCCGGCCTGCCACAGGTTCCCCATCACTGCTATATGCCATCTATCTAGCCAGCTACGCACCCTTCTCCAACCTGCGACATTAGTATGGCTCAGAGTCCCTGTCAGCTGATCCCTACAGGATGCCAAGGTAGAGTGTAGCTTCTGTGGTGCTTAGGATTATCCACAGAGCTGCTCCAGAGCGGGGTTTCCCTTCAGTCCCAGGCCCGAGGGAGAGCGGACAACCGCAAGCCATGCACTCTGGAGTCTGAGTGCCACGGTAATTCCCCTCTGGGGGTGTTCGTGAGATCTTGATGGTACGTGCCACTGACCGCGGTTGATCTTCAGTATGTGTGGTCGATGTGTGGAGGCATAGCCTCTTGAGGCTCGCGGTCTGGAATGGTGTGCCGTAATGATGGTAGGCGTTTGTGAAGTCGTGGGGCCTTGAGTGGTAGCACCTGTCTCTAGGACACTAGGCTCATAGCAGCCCTCATGCGGTGAGGTTGCTAATACAGCCATGTTTGAAGATATCTTGAGCCAGAAGTTCTGGAATATGGCATCCAAACACTGCTGTATGGTTTCTATAGCTCCGCTGTTGGAACTCTGAGTTTGACACAGGCCTTGAGAGGCTGGAGTAGGCCCATCCGCCATTTTAGTGAGGCTTGGTATTGGACTCGGCATAGGAATTCCACTGTGGGTCACAAGGAGTGCAGCAGTGTTTGGTGTCTGGTCAGCTTCAGTGGGGACCGGGATATCCCCCGTCAGTCCAGAGGTGGGGGGAGAGCGCTATGCAGCAAGTCTGTGCTGGGAACAGTTGAGTGGAGAGATCGGCTGCCTTTCCCCAGCTCAACTCACGGCAGCCGGAGTAAGAGTGTTCAGGTTCCCTATGGCTTAGAGATACGTGTGTTGGCTTAATGTGTAGGTCTGGGAAAACCTTACATCTGTGTCGCACCAGAACGGTAGTTACAGCTGATGGGCTGGGGACAGCACCCGTGAACCGGCCCGTTGATTCGGAGCTTGTGCGCCACGCGTCTGATTCTGTAGAAGGCCAGGCTCCGCCCCCTCCTCCCTTTTTCTAAATAAATAATATTTTGATGTGATCTGGCTTTTGTATTTCCTGGGAAATTGTTGTGTTAATAGCAAATTGTTGTGTTAATAGCACTTTATAGTGCTAAGGGGAATTGGGGGGGAGGTCCTAAAATTTTGAGGGGTTTGCCTGCCTGTTTTTCCTTCCAGATTAGAAATCCCTGTTGTAATGCACTGCCTCTAATCTTCAGAAAAAATAAATTTACGGTAAGTAAAATGTGTATCTTTTACAGACAATACTGAGCAATCCTCATTTCTTACTTACCTTGCTGCTGCTGTTCCTTGGATAACCTCAAACACATAAACTCCAGAATTAACGTCGGGGAAATCTTTATCACGCATTTTAAGCTCACGGATTAAACTGAAAGGATAGAACATTTGTATAAATATTCTCAAAATAAAACAAAAGAAATGCATTCACTGTGTATTGCTTACTTGCACAATACATAAAACATATTTATTCTCCTTTTTTAGCTGTACAGAACCAAGCTCTGCAAATAGCCAAATATTATCCGTTTCTCATTTCTGGTCAGACTCCTGTTAGCTTGCAGTGTAATTGTGACTAATTAATTATTTTTTCCCAAATATTCTGTAGACAAACAGAATTTACACGTATACTCCCATTAACATTAGAGAAGTGTGAGGTGTAAGGCTCAGAATATTGTCACACTATACATGTCACAGCTGTCTAAAGTTGAAGGAAGCCATATTAACTTTCAAATAACTATGCATATTAGATGGGAACGTGACTGCTATCTCAGTAATGTAGCAAGGATATGTAGTCATCATCACTGCTGTTTAGTCCCTCAAGTCACAGTGTCAGGTGTTTCACACATAACACACGTTATAACACATAATTAGAAAAAATATCATCCTAATAATACGAGATAGAACATACTATATATAGAGGACACATAAGTGCGAACTGCATATTACGGTAAAATAATTCCAATGAAGGACTAAATGCCTTGGCATCTTGCGCTGTAGTAATACAGGATGATGGGATGTGATGTCATACATCATTACAACGTGAGCTGGCAGGACCTGTTATAATAGTACTAAATAAACACAGCTCTGTGGTGCCAGATACCATCCAGCTGTAGCTTGTGTATACTGAGATGCAACCCATGGTGATGGTAGCAGTGTGTATACTGAGACTGCAACTCATGGTGATGGTAGCTTTGTGTATACTGAGACTGCAACACATGGTGATGGTAGCTCTGTGTATACTGAGACTGCAACCCATGGTGATGGTAGCTCTGTGTATACTGAGAGTGCAACCCATGGTGACAGTAACTCTGTGTATACTGAGAGTGCAACCCATGGTGATGGTAGCTCTGTGTATACTGAGAGTGCAACCCATGGTGACGGTAGCTTTGTGTATACAGAGACTGCAACCAGGGCCGGCCTTAGGCAATTAGGCGCCCTGTGCAAAAAGTCTTCACGGCGCCCCCCCCCACCTCCCACCAAGTTGCCTGAATACAGTAACACACACAGGCACCGGGGACGTGTGTATCACGAGGCAAACAAGGCATCTGCCTTGGGCGCCACTTTGCAGGGGGCAGCAAAAAAAAGCATCCCTCCAAACCCCCAGGCAGATCCCTTGCTTGCCTCGCATCCTGGGGGGCTCAAGAGCTGACCGGCTGGCCACTTTTGAGCCCCCCCAAGGCTGGCAGCGGGCAGCGAAGGAGCATACTCACCTGAGCTCTTCCTGCTCAGCTTCCTCTGCGCCGCTTAATGAAGCCGGGAGCCAGAATATGACGTCAGTCCGGCTCCCGGCATCACTAAGCGCTGCTTACTCAGCCTGTGCGCCCCCTGCCTGCCTGCCCAGCAGCCACACTGGACTGCTGGTAAGAAATCCACTCCAGCTTTCCCAGGGAGGCTGGGTGGATTTAAAATAAATGTAAAAAATATTAGTTTGTGAGTGTTAGTGGAAATGTCTGTGTGTGTGTCTGTGAGTGTTTATTTTGAAGTGAATGTGTGTGTGTGTGTGTGTCTGTAAGTGTGTAATTGTGTGTGTCTGTAAGTGTGAATGTGTGTGTCTGTGAGTGAATGTGTGTGTTGGTCAGTGAGTGTATGTGTCAGTCAGTGAGTGTGTATGTGTCAGTCAGTGAGTGTGTATGTGTCGTCAGTGAGTGTGTATGTGTCGTCAGTGAGTGTGTGTCGGTCAGTGAGTGTGTAGGTCAGTGAGTGTGTAGGTCAGTGAGTGTGTGTCGGTCAGTGAGTGTGTGTCAGTCAGTGTGTATGTGTCGGTCAGTGGAGTCGTGCATCTTTCAGTGAGTGCTTGCGTCTGTCAGTGAAAGTGTGCATCTGTCAGTGTGTGTCCAAGTAATAGTGTATGTGTGTATGTCATTGTTTGTCAGTGTATATGAGAGTGTGTGTCTGTCAGGGAGTGTGCGTCTGTCAGTGAGTGAGCGTCTGTCAGTCAAAGTGCGGCCTTGACAGGAAGGGGTGGGGGAAATTTAAACTCGGTTACAGGCATGTACACACACACTCAGTTAAAAGCAGTCACACATACAGGCACAGGCACAAACAATGGCACAGCTACAGCGACACACACAGACAGACAGTCACATAGGCAGTCACACACACACACAGACACACAGTAACACACACATAGACAGTTATACACACACAGGCAGGCAGGCAGTCACACAGATAGAAAGTCACACACACAGGCAGGCAGTCACACACAGACAGTTACAGACAGACACACACAGGCAGGCAGGCAGTCACATACAGGCAGTCACACACACAGACAGACAGTCACACACACAGACAGTCACACAGACAGACAGTCTCACACACACAGGCAGTCACACACACAGGCAGTCACACAGACAGACAGTCACACAGACAGACAGTCACACACATGGGCAGTCACACAGACAGACAGTCACACACACAGACAGTCACACACAGGCAGGCACACACAGAGACAGTCACACACACACACAGAGACAGACAGTCACACACACACACAGGCAGTCCACACACACACAGGCAGTCACACACACAGGCAGTCACAGACAGACAGTCACACACACAGACAGTCACACAGACAGACAGTCTCACACACACAGGCAGTCACACACACGGGCAGTCACACAGACAGACAGTCACACAGACAGACAGTCACACACACAGGCAGTCACATACATGGGCAGTCACACAGACAGACAGTCACACACACAGACAGTCACACACAGGCAGGCAGTCACACACAGACAGACAGTCACACACACACACACACACAAGGACAGGCAGTCACACAGACAGTCACACACACACACACACACAAGGACAGGCAGTCACACAGACAGTCACACACACACACACACACGCACACAGGCAGGCAGTCACACAGACAGTCACACACACACACAGACAGACAGTCACACAAACAGGCAAACAGTCACACACACACACTTACCTCTTTCCAGTGGATGCAGTTGGCTGATGGGGAAGCATCTTTCCCTCTTCCTGTACAGCAGGGGCTTCGGGAGGTATTAGCCCCGTCTCCGCCTCTCGATAAGCCCCGCCTCCGCCGCTCGGTAAACCCCGCCCCCTCTGCCGCGATTTTTTTTTTTTTTTTTTAAATAGACCCGGGTGGAGAATAATTAATCCTCCAGCCAGGTACCTCTTTTAGCTCCCCTGCACTCCGGCCATGAGTGAGCTGTGTCGGCCACAGGGCGCCCCCTGTTCCATGGCGCCCTGTGCGGTCGCACAGCTCGCACACCCCTAAGGCCGGCCCTGACTGCAACCCATGGTGATGGTAGCTCTGTGTATAATGAGATGCAACCCATGGTGATGGTAGCAGTGTGTATACTGAGACTGCAACCCATGGTGATGGTAGCTTTGTGTATACTGAGATGCAACCCATGGTGATGGTAGCTTTGCGTATACTGAGACTGCAACCCATGGTGATGGTAGCTCTGTGTATACTGAGACTGCAACCCATGGTGATGGTAGCTTTGTGTATACTGAGACTGCAACCCATGGTGATGGTAGCTCTGTGTATACTGAGACTGCAACCCATGGTGATGGTAGCTCTGTGTATACTGAGACTGCAACCCATGGTGATGGTAGCTTTGTGTATACTGAGACTGCAACCCATGGTGATGGTAGCTTTGAGCGGCCGATTGCAAACTGTTTAGCTGTGCATAAATACTCTGTATACATTATGATAACTGTTTATGCAATGTCAGTCAATTCTAAACATGTTTTAAGCAAAACATGGCCCAACCCATAATATTAAGAAAAACTTCTTACTTTGATGAGAGCTGAACCATTCGTACCCCCATATATTTCTTCTTTGGAAGAGTTTTTCCTGCAGCGAAGACATGAGTAAAAATGATACACAATTGATTCCATGTGATCTGTTATCAACATTCTTTTCCCATTTAGATTTCCTGTGATGTCTTTCAGTCTCCATAGTATCTGAAAGTCAAGAATCTAACAACGTATTCTATATCTCTTATAAGTCACGTAGGTCCTTCCCAAATCTCATTCTTTTTTAACCTTTCATTATAAGCAGCTTGTTCCTGTATTACATATGATATCTTTTGAAGTTCCCTAGGTCTTCATCAAGTTTATTTTCTTATGTGTTACATGTTTCATTGTTTACTTATGTATATACCATTTTCTTCATTTTTCATGTCATTTCATCTTATTTGTAGCCTCTCTAATACAGCAGCCTTCCCTGTTCATCATGTCCCAGGTGTTTGTTTCCCATCCCAGTAAGTGGCGCCTTATTGCCTTCTCATCCCTGGTTATTTGTTTTGACCCAGTATTAAATTTACTGCTAGCATCTTTATTTCAGACCGTGAACAAAATTATTCAATATGTTTCTATCTCTGCCCCGTCCAACCATGGTCTGGCTTCCTTTCTTACTCATATATATTCAATCTCTGTGGGCCTCACAGCCACATCACAGACTACAAGACACTTCCATGCTGTTGTTGGTTATACCATATTTAGCTGAATTTTGGAAAGTTGTTTAAGTGCTGCAGTGGTTTTACCACTAAAGGTAAGGAAGTGCCCGGGGGCTTCTGGCACCATAACCACTTATTTTTTGAGTTGTTATGGTGCCCGGAATGTTTAATATTCTAGTTGCACATTCTTCCAATTTTTTTAGTTTTAACCCCTTAAGGACCAAACTTCTGGAATAAAAGGGAATCATGACATGTCATGTGTCCTTAAGGTGTTAAATAATAAATGGATAATATATTTTTACAATGCCTGCAGGTTGTACAAAAATTACATCGACACTGTCTACTAATCTCTAAAATCCTGATCTAATTTCCACGTGAGGGTTAGAAAGTCCTTATATAAAAAAACAATAATACATCAATAAAACAAAACATTAATTTAAAAAAAAGTGGGAAAAAATGGCAAGCAATGTTTGCAAGGAGGGATTACTGAGGTAAAAGTGAAGAGCTATTCTAGATATCTTTATTTGAGACGGTTTTTATTGAGGTGATATCAAGTGGTGGCATAATTACAATCCTACAAATTATAATGCAATTGAAGAACAATTTAGTAAGCCTAATTTTTCTAGGTATCTTAAAGTACCACTCAAAACAACTTTAGTTTATTATTTATATAACGTTACAATATTGCAAAGACAATTAATGAATATGTACTGATACAAACAGAAGACCCTTCCCATGAACTTACAATCAAAAAATTAGAGTACTTTAATACAAAGTGTTTATAGTAAGGTATAAGCTTACATTCTAAGGGTAATGAATGGTTTTTGACACATAAAGTTGCAGGGGGTATTTGATATAATGGCCAGAGATCATGGGAAATATGCAAATACAGTGTTGCTTGTGAGGTAATTAAATAAGATGAGAGACTGCTGCAGGATCATGCAATGAAAAAAGATGAAGCGAGGGCAGATGGGTAAGTAGTGATTGCAAAACTTTTGAATTCTTTCCTGGGGAATTCAGAATGAGACATATTGAGCTGGAGTGAAAAAAAAAAATCACTTTTGATTCTGTTTATGCAACCTTAGCCACACCTCGCCTGGCTGCAACTCACACAGCCTACAAAATAAAAATGGTTTTATTTTCAAACAGATCTTACAGAACAGTGTATTTATTTTAGAGTCTATGTTGATTGAACTTTAAGCACACACACAGGATGCTGTTTTATGCTGTTGATATAGTAGTATTGAATCCCTTCTAAATTAAACACACAGTCTTGTAAAAAACGCTAAAACATTTACTATTTTTTTCAGCAAGCGTGTAGGGAGGCAGTGTGAGTCACAGCCAGGGAAGATATGACTAGGGCTGCATTAACAGTTTAATGTGATTGAATGCCCGATTTAGATAGGAGAGAACTGGGCAGTGACACTGCAGGGGGCACTATCAATTTACCAAAGACACTTAATTAAGGCAACGTTGGTTTGTACTTAGATGTCCCTTTAATGAAGAAGAGAAAAAGTAATACGATTATTCACCAAACCTAGCATTGTGGAGATTTCACAACGGAATTGCAATTGGAAGCCATAACAGCCATGATTTGTGCAATCTTCTTTAGTGAATAACCCTGTTGGGTCCGTTCTTCTATTCCCCCCATACAGTGACAAAATTTGCTTGAAACATTTTTATCAATGCATTCTAGAAATCAGGAAGCTAGGAGGAGGGGGGCTTAGTCGTCAATAAATGTCAATAAGTTTTAAAGACTACAAAATAATATTGTTGGATTAGTTACTTGTAACTAGCAAATTGTGAGGATGTGTGACATTATTAATTATTTAATTCAGTATCTGAGTGTTCTAGGGTTCATATCTCTTTTTGACGAGTATAACAGGTGTAAGCACTCTAACAAACAGCTCCTAATTCCAAAAACGTTACAATGTCAATTCAAGTTTGTTGTAGCAACTTGTGACTAAACTTGAAAGAACACTCCAGGAACCCAGACCACTTCTGCCCATTGGAGTGGTATGGGTGCCAACTCCTTCCACCCTTGACCCTGCAAGTGTAATTATTGCAGTGTTTATAAACTGCAATAATTACCTTGCAGGGTTAAGTCCTGTCTGACAGACAGCCACTAGAGGGACTTCCGTGTCCTTAGAACACGAAAAGTGTTTTAAATGACTCTGGATGTCCTCACGCTATGCATGAGGACCTCCAGCGTCGCCAGAATCCCCATAGGAAAGCATGCGCGTGGCCCTTGCCGGCTGACTTCAGCGTGTGTGGAGCCTGACCGAGCGCCCAGGGACTGGATTGAGGTAAGTCACTGAAGGGGTTTTAACCCCTTCAACAATATGGGATTGGGGTGGGAGGAAGAGATGTACTGCAGGGTCCTGCAGTGCCAGGAAAACGGATATGTTTTCCTGGCACTGGAGAGTCCCTTCAAATCACTTCAGCTTGCTAAAATGCTTTAGGTGTGTATACTGTTCTCCTTTTTTCATTTTCCAAAAAGTTCAGATTTTAATAGAAATTAACCTTGTTACACCCCCTGGTTGTCAATCGGATAACGGGTCCTGTTGCTTCCTGGTTTGGTTTGCTCAGTGGAGCTAAACTCAAGAGACAGCAATTGCCACTGACCCTGCTTTGCAAAAATTCCTCATTGAGGTGTACATGGGAAGTCTGGGCGGGGTTAGAAGGGAAAGGGCTTGCAAAGGCAAAGGCATGCTTTCATTTGGGTATATCTACTAAGCAGTGCTATTTATACTTTTTGTGTTTGGCCACTCGAATGTCCCTTTTAAGGTCACAGTTGCATATTTTGAAAACACAAAAACAGTTCTGTAAATTAGAAATTTATTTAAACAATAGTATTTGTTTAATCTTCAAATCCCCCTAACTCAATAATAGGGTTTGTTACTTGAGATGGTGGAGAATTGATAAAGCAATTTTAAAATTTTAAGCCAAATAAAAACAAAACTAAACTAAGGCCTCACTATAATATTTTAAAAACATTTATTTTCAAAGTATTAAAATACCACTCAAAATATATCGTATATAAAAAAAAAATCAAAATAGAAAATAGAAAATGAAAAGCTTTTCTGAAAATCTTAAATTGAGGTCTGATTTTGGCTTATTTTGCCAAAAACCTGCAATTCTCTTATTGGTGTGCTTTAGAGTCTTATATATGAGTTATCCTATGAATTTGGCAGAAAGAATCTGACATCATTAAGAGGATATAATATTCTACAACTTGTTAGTATTACGTTTAGTCTTTATCCGTGAGGTTTCTTACCTTTCAACTGTCTGTCATGGGCTTCAGCTAGGAATTGTCTAATTCGGTCAGATGGTATAGCAAAGGATATCCCTGCTGTCACCTTCAGAGTATTTATACCTATGACCTCCCCATCCTTTTTGAAAACACACATGTGGAAATAAAACAAAGATTTTCACATTTTAAACCTTGCAGCATTTATGTCTTTATATATTGTTTATCTGCTCAGTGGTTCTTAACTAATGATGAAATTCATTTTAGTATATAATGTGTTACAATGGAAGAATGGTCACTGAGCTAATTTTATTCTTTTAGAATGGGTGAAATCTTTGTCTAAAAGGTTAAGAACACTCTGTCCTAGATCTAATCTGTGGTAGTCATCGAGACAATGAATATATAAAAATATCAGAATTATCTAAAAGTGTCCTGACACCAACACTGTAAGGCAGTACATCAGAAAAAGGTGGGCCTGTCACTTGCCATACCCAATAATTTATAGCTCAGTATGCTTAACGAGAGACACTTGGTAACAACAAAGAAAAGACAGGAGCTTGCAAAGAGGTTTAGATCACTTGTGTCATTAAACAGAACCTAACGTCCAAATAGGTCACCTCTGTACATTATATCTAAATACAACTCCAGAGCGGACTGCAGCATTGCCTGACTTTGTGGAAGTGATGCAAGCTTCACTCACTTACTATTCCCTCTGCACATTATCAATGATCTACGAGGCATAGTCTACATATCCTAATTGTGGACAGGAGCTGTGGTAGTAGCTGTAAGGCTTAAAGGACCACTATAGGCACCCAGACCACTTCAGCTTAATGAGGTGGTCTGGGTGCCTGGTCCATCTAGGGTTAACCCTTTTTTCTATAAACATAGCAGTTTCAGAGATGTTTATGTTAGGGTTAATCCAGCCTCTAGTGGCTGTCTCATTGACAGCCGCTAGAGGGCTTCTGCACTTCTCACTGTGATTTTCACAGTGAAAAGACACCAGCGTCCATAGGAAAGCATTGTGAATGCTTTCCTATGGACTGGCTGAATGCGTGTGCGGCTCCTGGAGAGGAGGAGGAGAGCTCCCCGCCCGGCGCTGGAGAAAGAGGTAAGTTTAACCCCTTCCTCTCCATCCAGCCTGGTGGGAGGGGGACCCTGAGGGTGGGGGCACCCTCACGGCACTATAGTGCCAGGAAAACGAGTTTGTTTTCCTGGCACTATAGTGGTCCTTTAAACCAACTGTTCATCCCTCTTTTCATCATACCAATTTATTCCCTTACCTTTCCCCAACTGTTTTCTTTTCTCTTCCTCTTTTAGAACCTGTTTTTCCTTTTGCATCTATTTCTCTTTCTTGTGTATTTTTCTCATGCTTGACAATCTTAACAAAAGGTGTAGCTTAAGCCAAGCTTCGCTTCCTTTGTCAAGAACACATTTCATAAAATATTTACCTTTCCATCTAGTCCTTCCTCCTTGCATCAATTAGTACTGGTTTCCATAGAGCATGCGCGGGAATTAGATCCTGTCACTTACTATGGGCAGAAGATGGCATTATGTAACAGCCAGTAACTAGAAGACGCGGGCACCTAGAATGAGGATCTGACGCCACAAAAGAGTAAGAACAACAGGCAGATATGGGCAAATTTAGGATATCTAATTACGTTACAGGGACTGTTAGGAGTTGTATAGCGGAGGGAACCCTAAAAAATAAAATAAAAAAGTTTTTAGCCATGACACTCGCTTTAAGGCTAGATCCTCTAATCAGGCTATCTCAAAGCCATTTACACTAAGGTTCTTCACCATCTAAACTTAAACCACCACTCGTCAACAATGACATAATTAATATTATATTATTATATTCCATTATCTGTATTATGCAAACCTTAATAAAGAACAGCTCCAGATTGCTATTAAAACTATGAAGGAAACTTTGATGTAAATTGTTGGATATGAGGAAGTGACAGGTCCACTCTTTAAAAAAGCAGAACTAATTCTGCTAATATGCCACAATATGCATAGTAAGAAGAAATATTTATGTTTTTAGAGAGAACAAATGTTCCAAGTATAAAATGGAAGGGCAGTTTTTTTCATACAAATTCAGCTCGTTCCAATTACATGACTTTAAAGGTCTTGCAAATGCCATACTTGTACGGACGGAATTATAGTATATTTGCTAAAAGGAAAATTCCAGAGTAAAAAATAGTTATTCTGGAAGTTCAAGGAATCCGCAAAATATTTCTGCCTGTACTTGTGTCATAACATTACAACAGGTTTAGAATAGCCAGTTTGACAAGTTAAAAAAAATATATAAATATATTTTAATACTAATATCTATCCCAAACAGGCATCTGCAATATATTTCACAAGAAACAACATGTGCATTTAACAGATCAATCATGTTATTTGTTTGAAGTGACAGTGTAAGTACTGCCACTGCAGAATACATGATCTGAAAAGAGTGAAGTGAACATTAATGAATCTTATCATTGAAGTGTCAGCTCTACTGTATGTCTTGAAGGCCAGCACCCATAGCCATACAACCTAGGATCCACAACAAGCATTTACGGTAATTTACGTTCTAGAAAAATGCAGGCAAGTTGCTAATCTGTGTCATGTGAGAACTACAGAACTGTGATGAAGACAAAAGTGTAGGTTCAAGACAATGGTGGGCGAGTGGGCATGGCTGTGTATGTGTGTAAGTTGAATCTGATTATTAATGATGGATAAATGGATGTGGGGGATGGACACAGCTGTGTTAAGGAAGAGAGATTTAGCTATGGTGAATGTGAAATATGTAGAGCAGTGATTAGTGCCATGGGAGGGTATATATCTACAGTGAAAAGAAAACCGATCCTTACCAGGTTTACAAGGGGTCCACCAGAATTTCCATACTGTAAAAATTAAAATTAAAAATAGCAGTGGTCAATTAATGCATGGTATTACCCAACGTTCAATCTTTATTGATATTCTCTCTATCACCATCTACACACACCTATAACTTTGCTTAATAAAACTAACAAACCTGTCTCCATGTGGTTTGTTAAGTAGCTTAAGCAGATTGAAATTAGGAGAGAGGTAATTCAGAAAAAAAATACATGCATTCTAAGTTTGCACACAACATTTAAACTCTCAAGGAGCATCGGAGTTCATTTAGTTATCTACTTGGTAATTAAACAAGCTTACTTGCAAATGATTAAAACGTCTACAAGACCTTCTCCTATTCTGATGTATCCATATGTATTAAACATGAAATGTTTTTATAAAACTATTTCACATACCATTTTTCAGCTCTAGCATAGTGTAACCCATAAAGTAATATAATATATGGTTGCCAAATTCAACGTGAATTTCAAAGTTGAGATCAGATTATTTATACAGGATGCATAGCTGACTTGGAATTTTATTGCAGTTTTACAACTATTTTGGGCTTATCTTCAAAAATTCACTTGAGTTCACAACAATTCTCCAGGTCCTTTCACACCCCAACCCCCATCCTTCCCACCCAAGTAATAGTGCTCATTTTTATTATTAGTTATTATTATCATGATATAATCAATAGTTAAACGACCAGGAAAAAAAGAAACAAAACTTCTGAAAGAGGAATAAAAAGTGGCAGAAGGATAGATTGTTTTATTGCATTACAGAAAACAAAGGTTAAAAAGCACCTCAATGTATAAAGGTAGAGTAATAGTATTATACATAAGAAAATGGTGCATATGGACAAAAATGGCGCAAACGTGAAAGTAAGTGGACAATTTTTATACATTACCCTATAATTTCATGAGGGTGACTTGCAGAACATGAACATTCTGCCCCCTTGTATGTAGAATGTATACTACACAATTCTTAATCGATTTATCACCTGACTTAAAATCTGCAACATATGTATTTTACATGCTACAGGGTGGCACGTTCCATATGTTTCCCATTAATTCGTATAAGCGTTATATATTCTGGAAAATACTGTGGATGTGACATCCCTAAACATACAACTGTCGTTGTAAAAAAAATAAAAATTAAAAATAAGGGCTTTTTTGTATCTCAGACGCTTAATTATGTGCAGGCAAAAAAATGATTAAGAACTGCTACCACCTATTGTCCCTGATTTGCACCGTGCCATCCAGACGTGGCTATTTCACAAGTGCCATCCAGGGGATTTGAACTGTGGTCCTTCTGTCTTGCCTCGGAGCAACACTTCAGTTCTTATTTCTGTCTCATGTTTATCCTTGCCTTGTCAACAGCACTGGGGGCTGGATTTTACCTGGGGCAGCTCCTATCAATCTCAACCCACCTGAAGCTGATGCCCAATTAGCCAGGTATAAGACACTGCCTCTCCCTGAGGACAGTGTCAGTTCATTGACTCTGGTTCCTGTGTTTGTGATCCAGTGTTCCCCAGTTGGCTCCTGACTTCTGGCACCCTCTGACTTTTGGCTAATCCTTGATTCTCCAGCTTGTGTCCTCGCCTGTAATGCGACTTGGAGCAATATCCTGCACAGTCCCCGTGCACAGACTCACAGGCCAGGTGGTTCCTTATCTGGTCACCTTGGTTTGTGTTTATTTGCAAGGGTGAGCGTACATCTCTGCATACCGGACTCCCAACTAAGGTAAGCCCTGACATTAATGAACTGACCATCATGGAGTCTGCAGAGATGTGCAAACTGCTTACCTAGCAAGTGTCCAGCCTGGCCCAGACTGTTTCGGAGCTGCAACAAGAAGTTTGATTTCTTAAAGAAACAGTACGCCCAGCCCCGGAACCTGTATATTCTGAGCCGTTTGTTGTTATGCCAGAGAGATTGGACGTCCATCCCTTCAGTGCTTTTAGGTGGATTGTGAACTTTTATTTGCCTTAAAGCCTCGGACATATGCCAGTGACTTTATCATGGTCCGTGCGGCTATCAACCTGCTGACTGGATGGATCAAGACATGGGCACACCAGATGATGCTGGATAAGAGTCCTGTCCTCGACAGCTGGGAGTCATTCATAAATGGACTCTCAGTGCCTTATGTCCAGAAAGGCTACTCCCAAGCCTTCTCCAGGTCCCCGTGGATCTCGGATACCCAGGGAGAAGGACAGCATATATGAACACAATAATCCCATCCTGCTACAGGGCAGACCTGCCTTCAGTAACCTGCCTTGTCAACCTGAAGTCACCCAAGTACACCTTGAGACTCCAATGGAAAAAGAGGAACCTTTGGAGATCGGTGTCATCTGGACCAGGTTGTCCTCCAAGGAAAGAGACCGAAGGAGAAGCTGTGGTCTTTGTTTCTACTGTGGAGAAAGAGGGCACTTCATCTCCATCTGCCCTACTCGCCCACACCAGCGTAAAACTATTCAAGTAGCTGCTGTTCGTACCCATCCTGTCATCCCTGCAACTTTGCCTTGGAAATGCCAAGGTTGCTGCCAGCCATGTCTACGTTCTGTGACACAAAAGCGTACCCAGACCACGGTAATCGACATAACCCGTCCTCCTGAGAGGTCTCCACCTTCTGCTCCAGAGACATCTGCACCACCCCTGAAGATGCTTCTATTAAGACCATCACTACTTCCTGCCAGCTCAAAGAAGACCTACCTTCTGCTTGTACATGTGCCTCTAATGGTAAAATCGCTTGTAAAAAGGATTTACTGATGTTCGAAAAGGCATTGTTAGCTGCAAACTCCGCTCCTGCTGAAGTACTTTCTACCTGCACCCGGATCAATTCTAAAGAACCCCAACCTTGACCATAACTCCCCATCCAATTACCGTCCTATCTCGCTACTGCCTTTTGCATCCAAGATCCTTGAAAGAGTTGTGTATGCGAAAATGACAGACTTCCTCAAGTCCAACTCTCTCCTAGACCCGCTTCAGTCTGGTTTCCGTGCTAAGCACTCTGTGGAAAAAGGCACTGACCAAAGTATTCAATGATCTACTCGCTGCAAAATCTTGTGGTCACTACTCTATCCTAATTCTCCTTGACCTTTCTGCGGCTTTTTACACTGTTGATCATCAACAGCTTCTTCTCTTCCTCAGCAATATCTGTCTACAAGATACTGCTCTCTCCAGGTGCTCCCCCTACCTCTCCCAGTGCTCTTTCAGTGTTTCTTTCTCTGGCTCTGCTTCTTCTCGCCAACTCCTCTCTTTTAGTTGTTATTATTATTATTATGTTATTTATATATAGCGCCATCAAATTCCACAGCGCTTTACAAGGTTCAGTCCTTGGTCCCCTACTTTTCTCCATCTATACTGCCTCCCATAGGCGTACGCACAGGGTGTGCCGGGTGTGCCTGGGCACACCCTAATCCCTGCGGCACGCCTATGTATTGAAACCGGCAGGGGAGATCTCAGGATCCACCGTCGGCTCATGCAGAGCCAGCGCTATCCGAGCGCCGGCTCTGCTCTAAGCCTCCCTCCCCACAGCAGCATGGAGGTAGGCAGGAGAGGACCCGGGGAGCTCAACCAGCAGCTCCGGCAACGCTCAGATCTCGCAAGAGTGAACTCTAGCCCCACAGGCTAGAGTTCACTCTCCACTGGACCACCAGGGATGGCAGCAGCACGATCCCCCCTCTCTACATAAGGTAATAAGGGAGGGGGGATATTTAGTAATCTGCCCCCACCTCCACCCCCCACAATCACCCACACACAGCACCTACACACATACAGCACACACACATCACCTATACACATACACATACAGCACCCACACACACACACACATACACATACAGCACCTTCACACACATACACACAGTACCTACACACACAGCGCCCTCACACACAAAGCACCCTCTCACACACAGCACACACAGCACACAAACAGCACCCTCACAAACACACACACAGTACCCTCACACACACAGCACACTAACAGGACCCTAACAAACACACACACACAGCACACAAACAGCACCCTCACACACATCACACTAACAGCACCCTCACACACAGCACCCTTACACACAACACCCTCACACAGCACACACACACACAGCAGTGTATGTATGTGTGTGCATATATATATATATATATATATATATATATACACACACACACATATATATACACGCGGCGTGTGTTTGTGCTTTAGGGTGCACACCCTAATGCAATAGGCTGCGCACACCTATGCTGCCTCCCTTGGTAATCTCATTAGCTTCTTTGGCTTCCAATATCATTTCTTTGCGGATGACACGCAAATCTACCTGTCCTCTCCTGATCTCTCCCAGTCCCTCTTGACTAGTGTCTCTGACTGCCTCTCCGCTATTTCTAACTTGATCGCTGCCCACTTCCTTAAACTCAACTTGACCAAAACTGAAATTCTGGTCTTTCCTCTCTCAAGTGTTGCTACTCCTGTGTCTGTCTCCCACCAAGTCAACGGTGCTACCATCAGCTCATTGAGCAAGGCCCTGAGCCCCTCTTTTCCTGTGTGTCCAACTTGTCTGGTTACAACTACATGTTTGTATGTCCACCCACTGTAAAGCTCTGAGGAATTTTTTGGTGCTATATAAATAATAAGAAAATAATAATAATTGATGTCCTTGACCTCTCTCCACCGGTACCAGAAGCTGGTACTATCGAGCCCCATGCTATTAAGGGACTCCTTTCTGGGGACTTTGATCACAAGGAATATCTTGATACAGATAGTGAAAATTAGGTGTACCAGAACTCTAAAGAACCAGTTCTCACCCAGAGGTCGAGTTTAAGGACGGGCAAATGTCATGATTCGCACCTAGCCATCCAGATGGCCAGGCGTGGCTGTTTCACAAGTGCCAGACAGGGGATTTGAACTGTGGTCCTGCTGTCTTGCCTCGGAGCCACACTTCAGTTCCTATTTCTGTATCATGTTTATCCTTGCCTTGTCTCCAGCACTGGGGGCTGGATTTTACCTAGGGCTGCTCCTATCAATCTCAGCCCACCTGAAGCTGATGCCCAATTAGCCAGGTATAAGATGCTGCGTCTCCCCGAGGGCAGTGTCAGTTCATTGACTATGGTTCCTGTGTTTGTGTTCGTGATCCAGTGTTCTCCAGTCGGCTCCTAACCTTGACTTATTCTTATCGTGTGTCCTGACCTCTGGCATCCTCTGACTTTGGCTTACCCTCGTTTATCCTGACTTCTGGCACCCTCTAACTTTTAGCTCCTCATTGACGATTCTCCTGCTTGTGTCCTTGCCTGTACTACGACTTGGAGCAATATCCTGCACAGACTCACAGGCCAGGTGGTTCCTTATCTGGTCACCTTGGTCTGTGTTTATTTGCAAGGGTGAGCATATACCTCTGCATACCGGACTCCCAACTAAGGTAAGCCCTGACACCTATATGTATATGTCTCTCTCATTTACACAAATTGATACAGTAATACCTCAACTGTGTGTTATATACATCCAGTCAAACCATGGAGAGCTATAGATATAATGACTTACCCTTACAATGTGGGTAAGATACAATGACCTAAAATGATAAACACATATATGGTGCAATATAACCAATATTGTGCATCGAATACAACTCTAACTGGGTACACTCACATTTGGCTGAGCCGAATAGGACAGGCACAGAACACCTGAAGGGACACTGCCCCTCTTCCTCTGTGTCTTAATGTGCTTGTAATACAGAAACTTGGAAAAAGACCTAGTGCAATATGTCAATTCAAATAAAGTGCACAGTATACAGAGTTGCTGACTGCTCACCTTCTCCCAAGCGTATTATACCTGGCTCTTAGTGTGTAGACCCTTGTGTCTGTATAGGGGACACAAACCCTTCTTTGAAATAGAACCAAATAGTTGAATGGAGTCCACCGGAAGGATACAAATTACTATTTATTACAAATTGATGAAACAAAATATGAAAGAAATATAAATCAAATGATAAAATCCTCCTGTAGCACTTCCGAGACGTGTTTCGCCGGTACAGCCGAATGAAAAAGCCTCTGTAACCGGCAAAACAAACTTGAGAGTGCTACTGGAGGATTATATCATTTGACTTATATTTCTTTCATATTTTATTTAATTGCTTTTTGATTAATAGTAATTTTTAGCCTAGCTCTGGACTGTGGTAATATTTCAAAGAAGGGTTTGTGTCCCCTATAGAGACACAAGGGTGCTAAGAGCCAAGTATAATAGGCTCTGGAGAAGGTGAGCAATAAGCAACTCTGTACCCTCTTGTACCCACATTGTAAGGGTAAGTCATTATATTTTTAGCGCTCCAAGGTTTGACTGGAATGGGTGTATATACCTCACAGTTGAGGTTTTACTGATACAACAGTCATTGTTTAACAAGCAAATCGAAAAAAATATTACATATCCTACAACACTACTGTAGTGTAAAATGGAACAAAAAAACAACAAGCATTATTGGTGCTATATAAATACAATATATAATAAAACACGTATATTTTGGAGTCACCTATGAACAATATATACAATACATACATGTTTAAACTACTATTTGTAAGTGACAATAAATTAGGGGGAAGTTAAAGGAGGCTGGAAGCAAGCAAGTTGGTTTGGCGGAATGATGATGTTTACACAGATGAGAAAAGGTACATAATTAAAACAAAACAAAAAATACAAACAAAAACCTCATTCGTGAATTCATGTCTGTTGCTGCTTGTCCAGGAACTAGGGTGTAGCTGAGGATGCTTATGAATTTTGGTTTTGCATTCTCTATTTAATTTTCAATATTATGCAGGTCGTGCACCATCTGAGTAGCTCACTTCTCTCTTTTTGACACATAGCTTTATGTGAAGTTTTATGAATGATCTATATAATTTGACATTAGATAGCTTGTACTAATTCCTCTTGCTATACACAACTTGTGCCTTTTCTTCCTGTATATTAAGCATTACATTGTATGTTTAATATTGGGTAATTTGAGATAGAAACCCCTAGGCTTTTCTGTTAATGCTAATAAATATTCATTCAATGTATGTTCGTCATTAGGTTTGTATACTAAACGCATAATTTTGCTATTACATTTTGCATCTCACCTATAGAACTCACCTATAGAGCATATTTAAATCATTACTCAAGTGGTTAGTATCCTCGGAAATATCTACTGGTTGTGTTCTCTACAAAAAGTCAAATTTTGTCTTTGAAAATTATTATTGTTATTATAATAATTATTATTAAGTATTAAACTGTTTTTCTGAAATGTCACAATTGCATTATATGATAATTCACCTTATTATTTCTATTTTCCAACCTGACCCTGTTAATTTAACTTTAAGGCCAATAATGTCTGTTCCAGTCACACCAAGAACCCTTTAGTTAAAACCAGGCCAAGATTGACCATTAGACAAACTAGAAAAAAGTCTAGTAGTCCGTCATGGTTTTGAGGCCAATGGATGATCATGTCCCCAATTAGCACTGTGAATCAAAGCTGTATATAACACAGCAGCGGTCAACAGACTCTGTTTTCTTCTCTTCTCTCCTGCTTATGTTTGTTGGCCACAATGTGATGGGTTGCTTGTGGTGCTTCTTGCATGGTGTTCTGAAAATTCTATTCTCATTACAATTGAACTATCAGCAGCCCACGCAGGAAGCAGAATGGGTTTCTATAGCTCCCACAAAACAAGGTTATCAAGTCACACTGGAGGACAGCAGAGTAAACTACAGACAGAAGAATGTGACTCGAATCAATTTTTGGCAGGCTGGGTCATTTATGTGGACATAAATTGTGAAGCACGTATTTCAGGAGAATAATGCCATCGGAAGGTTTTGGAGACTGTCATGTGGTTTCTAAAGAAATCCCCAGAGCCCTTAAGTGTAATAATTTTCTTACAATGTGTTTAAGATAGATATGCAATTTATACATTTGATACCACATTTTTCTACTTTAGAGAATTAAAGGATCACTATAGGGTCAGGAACACAAACATGTATTCCTGACCCTATAGTGTTAAAACCACCATCTAGCCCCTCATGCATCCATAAATATAGCACTGTATTCAAGCCTGAAGCTGTAACTCTGCATGCTGCTTGCTTAAAAAAAAAAACAAGCAGTCTGCTGACATCATCAGAAGTGGTAGCCTGATCCAATCACAGTGCTTCCCCATAGGATTGGCTGAGACTGACAAAGAGGCAGAGATCAGGGGAAGAGCCAGCATGATTCAAACACAGCCCTGGCCAATCAGCATCTCCTCATATAGATGAATTGAATCAATGAATCTCTATGAGGAAAGTTTGGTGTCTGCATGCAGAGGGTGGAGACACTGAATGTTTGGATGGATTTTAGGCAGCCAGGACCCAGGAAGGATCTCTAACAGCTATCTGAGGAGTGGCCAGTGAAGTTATCACTAGGCTGTAATGTAAACACTGCATTTTCTCTGAAAAGACAGTGTTTACAGCAAAAAGTCTGAAGGTAATGATTCTACTCACCAGAACAAATTCAATAAGCTGTAGTTGTTCTGGTGACTATAGTGTTCCTTTCATGAAAATGTTACTATAGCTATTCACCGCTCACTCATGTGATGATTGTATAACACAACATATGGCTCATGCATCAAATAATAAATGGTATTTTGTGTAAGAAATGAATATTATAAATTATGTTTTATTCTTTCTGGTTGGTCAAACAAGGCAATTCCGGGACTCACATTAATGATGGCATCTGTTTGGATGTAATCCATATCAGAATCTTTTAATCCAAGCTCTTTCCCTCCCCTTTGAGTGGTGCTGATGATTCCGGTGGTGACTGTATTCTGCAAAGAAAACGGGCTTCCAAGAGCAACCACAAATTCTCCTGGTCTTAGGTCAGAAGATCTTCCAAGCATGAGAACTGGAAGAGGGGCCTAGGATGAAACCAAAGTTTTGCTTGCTTATGGGCTATGATTTAATGAAGGATAAGAAGGAACTATAGGGAGATGTTATATGGAACAATGGGACCAGTTGCATGCAGAGGGTAGAAAATAAGTTTAAAAAAAAAAAAAAAGATATAAGATGTCATACAGACCAGTAGGAAGAGTTATAAAAAGTTTAGGTATATCTATATGTATATCAGAGACTTGAAATACTTGGTTTAAGCTTCACTGGAAAAGGTGTTCATGGTACTTACATCTGGTTCAATCTTGATCAGAGCAATGTCCATTTTTTGGTCAATATCCTTCACCTTAGCATCATAATGAGCTCCATCTTTTACTTCCACCTTAACACGCTGCTTGTTCGTGAGTACGTGAGCATTTGTTACTATGAGGCCATCTTCAGAAACTATAAAGCCAGAACCACTGGATACAGCCATTTCCTGACCTGTGAATGGGGACCTGCAATGCGACAGGACAACTGAGTCTTTCCATAATTAAAAAAAAATATAGCTCTTTACAAACAGAGATGCATATATAGCATTAATAGAACATATTCTTCACATATTAAATTGATTTCATAGTTATTTTGTTTATTGTTTTTCTTACAGACTCTTAAACTGCTAATTCTCTACCTTAGTTAAGGTAGTAAATTGAATTTGTGATGTAATATTTTAATAGTATTGATATCCTTAAGCTCAAATTGTAAAACACACATTCAATGTCTGTATAGTAATGTGTGGAGCTCAGATCAATGAAACACATTCTACGATCATTAATATAATTAATACATATTCATATATTATAAGCATTGCATACCGAGACATAAACTTAACTTTGGTAAATGAATAGTAGTTTTCAAACAGGGTTCAAAAGGAAATATGCAAATAAATTACAAGAATTAATACTATATTATTATATCAATAGAATGTAACTCTACATGTTCTAAACCTCTGAAACCTGAACATTCTGTTCCTTAAATAGGTGTTCTAGGGCAGGGAGAGACCACCTTCAGAACTCCAGATGTCCCCTGAACTACATCTCCCCTGATGCTTTGCCAGCAATATAGCTGTAAAGTATTACTAGAGATGTAGTCCGCAAAATCTAGAATGCCAAAGGTTGTCTACCATTGTTGTAGGGTATAGAACACCTGGAATTTAGATAATATATTACTGGCTAAATTCCTTTTCCCTAAACAAGCCCTTGCATGGCATTTTCAGAGTACTCAAATCTAAATGTCCACCTGCCCCTCACAGATTAATAATAGTCTAATTCCAAAACAGGAATAAAAACCTGGCACTCATAGAGGGAAGAGAGCAACTCTTTGTACTTATTTGAATCACACACCCAGGCCTTTTATCACAAGGCATTCAGTTTTATTGTAGTATAGTGATGATATTTAAAAGTAGTGGTTATTACATTCGTTGAATTATGAAAATCTGTTATTTTCTCTCACTCCTCTCATGAGAAAGGTTTTGTACCGAAATGTTGGGGGCTTTTTTTTGTTTGGTACCGTGGTTGTTCACCTCTGTCTATGACTTGAGATCTTTGACTGCTGGTATGTAATTTCACAATTTTGTGTATCAATCTATTTTTTACAATAGTGTGTTTCTATAGACGTACCTTATTCACGAGTGATCGGATATACAGATTTGTTATCTAGAAATCTACGTATTTGATTGTTTGAATAGATATATTATTGTACCACGTATGTTAGGTTTGGATCATAAACACTTACATGTCTTTTTATGGTGCTTACAAGAAAGATTACTAAGTTTTAATGCCCTGTGTTCCTTTGTCCTAAATTGATATAATTTTCTCTCACCGCTGTCATTGGTGGGATAAAAAACACAACTCAGCATCTGTGTTGTAGAATCATTTCTACAGGCTCTGCGTCACTATGGGCTTGAGTACAATCATAATGCAAACACAGTACTTGCTAAAAACTCGTTATACCTGCTAGTACACCTTTGGACATATCATAGATTCTTCCACTTTAAGCTTTTTTTCCCCCCGAGAGCAGGGGTGTCACATGTGTTTCCTGAGATGGTAGTGAACACTACAACTCCCAACATTTTCTGCTAGCTCCAGGACAACACAGAAATCTATAGAATTATGGAATTTGTAGCACAGCATCTGAGGGGCTGCATGCTGACAAATCTAGTATTGGAGATCATTGTTCTTTTTTGTAAGAGTTAAACGGAATAAAGGTCATATGGTTTTATCGGGTATTTGCAGTTTGCCTAATTTATGTAGGTTTTCCAAATTAGATTGCTTTATATACTCATTTACACCAGTCTTTCCCTGTTATGTTTGCTGTTTTTGTTACTGTACCATTTCCATATGACTTTTTTTTTTGGTAAACACAAGCTTCTTTGAAATCATTCAAGCAATATATTATAATATGATATAGACATGAAAGCAGAAACAATTAAAAGTATAATTACAGAATACAACTATAGATCAGGTAAGCTATGTGATAAAGTCAACCGTTGCATGTGTTAACCATGCAGGAGAATAAAATAAAGCATTGGATGAAATACATTTATTTAAGTTCATCTTGGAACTGAAAGCCTCCCTATAATTAATGTTTATAGACTCTGAATTAATATTATTTATTTCCATATTTCTACCTATACGTATTTTACATAGTTTCATAGGCTGAAAAGAGACGTGTCCATTAGGTTCTGCGTTTCTCACATCTGTTTTTTTCTATTAATCAAAAAGAAGGCAAAACAACATGTCTAAAGCGCTTTCAAGTTTCGCAACTTACTGGAAAAGGAAAAAGATTCCTTCTTGAACCCAGAATGGCAGTCAGATCTCTCCTCGGATCAAGAAGCTGTTACCCCATGTATAAAAAATTATATTCCTGAATATTATGGTTTTGCAATTATTCATACAGATGTTTAAACATCTGTACAGACTCCGATAAAACCACCTCTTCAGGCAGAGAATTCCATATCCTTATTCTTCTTACGGTAAAAAAAAAAAAACCCTTTACTTTGCCTTAGTCTAAAACTCCTTTCTTCCACTCTAAATGCAGGACCTTGTGTCCTATGTATAGTCCTCGTCACGGTGCCCGATTGGCACTGTGTGGCTGTACCCGATCGGTGCCCCACCCTCCAAGGGGCATCTGGTGTAGCGACAGGGTGCAGCTTTATAGAGGCCGCTGACCGCTGCTGTCCCGCAATAATAAATAGCGCCACCCACAAAAACGTCACTTTTTTTATGCACACGCACGTTTTGGAGTTATAGGTCCCATTTTAACCACTAAGCAGGGTTTTGGGGTTATTTAAACCCAGATCTGCTAGTGTTCAGTGCCCTGTCGTGGTTTCCACTACTTTGGTTATCCAAGGGCGCGTTTGGTATATTGTTATTCTGTTTTTTTATTTTGGCTTGTTCTGACTATCCATATTTTCTGGTATCCCTGACCCTTTGGCTTTGTCTTTTCTTTTATTCTACTGTCTGTGTCCCTCACTTTGGCTTGTTTCTGACTATTCTTTCTATGTTAAATCTGACTATTTTAAGGCCCGGTTATACATTTATCACTTTTAGTCTATTCTACGTTTTTGACTTAATTCTGCGTGTTGGGCCACATCCTGACAGTCCTGGTTATGAATAGATTTCCAGAAAATGGTTTGTATTGGGCCTGAATATGTTTGTATAAAGCTATGATATTCCCTCTGAGGCATTGTTTTTCTAAACCACACAGATTTAAATTTGCTAACCTTTCATGATTAAAATGTTTATTTCCTTTAATTAATTTTTTAGCCTGTCTCTGTACTTTTTCTAGTGCCATAATATCCTTTTTTAGAATAGGTGCCAAAAATTGCACAGCATAATCAAGATGTGGTCTTACTATTGATTTATAAAGAGGCAAAATTATATTTCCATCCCAAGAATGAATGCCCTTTTTATACATGATAACATACTGGCCCTAGTAATTGCTGATTGACATTGCACATTGCTGCCTTGTTTGTTGTTCATAACACTTCCCTAATCTTTTTTGTGTTGTTATCCCTAATTCACTACAATTTAGGGTGAAAGTTGCATTTATCTACATTAAATTTCATCTGCCATTTCCTAGTATCCTAGTCTATCTAAATCTCTCTGCGACAAAGTAATATCCTGCTCACATTGTATTACTTTACAGAGTTTTCTGTCACAATATGCATAGCATACACATGGTTTGCTTTAATTTATAATTGTTCTCCCCGCTTTCCTTCAATAACACCAATATTAGATATTTGTTAATAAATGCTGCATTTGGAAAAAATATATATTGGAACATCCAAAAACATTTTTATATGTATTCAAGATTATCTAATGTTTCTATAACATTCTATTTCCAATATGTTCATATCTACTGTCGCTGGATTACCTTCTAAACAGTTCCAAATGTACAACAGCCGGTGCGATTTTCTGGACCACGTCAGCTATGAAATTAAATTTGTATCTCATGCTGTCCGGATAAGGGGAACCTAAAATATCAAAAGTACAATTACATTTCTGACCATAGTTATACCTCATTGCAACCAAACAATCAGAAAACAGGAAGAGAGAAATATTAGCATCACCCACCTCTTATGATATGAGCGAGCAACGGGAAGACATACAACTGAGGATAATAGTCATATAAATTCATCCATCGCAAGATGGCTGCAGGTTACCTTGTAATCTGCCAGCTATTTATCAATCCATATAATGCAACATGATAAATACCAGCTATAGCTAACAATTTGCACCCTGGCTGTGGACATGTTATCATGAGGCTTGCAATCTGTAGTTTGCTCCACAACCAGAAAAAATATCGAGCAAAAGCAGTAATATGTTGATTTAAATTTTTTTTACATTTTTTTTTTTTTGGCTTTCACTTATTTTCTTAGGTGAATAGCATAAGTAAACCCATGACAAGTGAGACAAGGAAGTCGCATTGCATTTGTAAATATATTGTTTCTCTGAGCATTATAACCACTGCAGCCCTCTGTAGTGAATATGATACCAGAAGTACCCTGCTGCTGTTTCTCAGTAACGAAGCCATTTTGTAATGGTTTGCCACTTACTTGGGTCCCTTTGGGTATCTAGCTGCAATGAATGTTGGCTTAGACGCTTTTGGTTTTTGCTATTTTTACATTATCTTAGAGTGTCAGCTGAGCATTCTCAGACTATGAATATGTACAGAATTAACACTAGCCAGTCTGGATGTTCCTTGCTGGTTATTAAAAGTTACCAATGGTGGAGTTACACATCCAGCGGCAACATGATATATCTATGTGCAGTGTTTCATACTGAAATGCTCCACATACCGGGTCTTTGCACCATGACCACTTTAAAACACTGAAGGAGTCATTGTACTTTGAGTAACCCTTTAAACATGTACAATACGTACGTCTGAGCAAATATGTACATAGGTTTGCTTTTTTCCAAGCTTGCTTACGCACATTACAGGTAAAATAAAGATAAATATGGCATCATCAAACAAACATGTGGAATGTACACTTTCTGAACATACACATATGATCATGCACACACATGCACCCTTTAATATGCACAGTACAGAGCTTCACAATATGCTTTTGCTTGTTACAAGCATGTTTCCTAGCGCCTGTCTCTGACATACATTTAGCCAGCATGTTCCCGCATGACACTGACTCACAAAAACACACTCACAGGTATTTACCCTGAAGAAAACAACTTGTCACCTCCAGCACTGACACAAAATGACATAGCTACCTACCCCTTTAGGATTAGACAGCCCTCACCCCATGCAAAAGTGATTTCCATACAAGACATAGGGGAACCACTCAATTCAACATCTCTGTATGTGCCCACATTAAAAGAACCAGAAATTGAAAAGAAACGTACACTGTTAAAATGTATTAAAGTATGTTTTGCTATAAATGAATCTGGAGTATTTGTGCAATCATACAGAGTCATATAAATTAACCAAGGAATGGCAAATTTTAGGTGAAAAGGTGGAAAACTAGCTAAGTGAAATGTTATACCATTCAATTATTTTGGGCTATATTTAGCAAATTCTTGAGCAATTCCTGACATTGACAATTTTAGTGAATAACCGATGAGTTGTAGGGAACTTAAAAGTTAAATTGTAAAGTACAATTATGTTACCTAAATTGTGCAATGTGATTTTTTTTCACACAATACAATTTACTGTTTAGTAAATAAGCCATAATGTGTCTAAAAATCTAGACGACACTGTAATATATTGCAATGTATTGCTCACTAATGCCTTTTGGCTCAGAAGGCAGATGTTCAGCATCTGTACTTATTTGTCAAGTCTTTCATTTCCGCGTTTGAAGAGTTCGCTTTTAGACAAACTTGAAAAAGTACTGAAACATGGTAAGCAATGTCATCTGATGGACATTCTGATTTTTCTCCAAGTAACAGTGCAACATAAGAAATTGTGAGCTGTGTCTAACAAAATAATTAATAGAGTACGCATATACAGTTAAAGGGACACTATAGTCACCCAGACTACTTCAGCTCAATGAAGTGGTCTGGGTGCCAGGTCACTCAGGTTTTAGCCCTTCAGATGCAAACATAGCAGTTTCAGACAAACTGCTATGTTTACATTTGGGGTTAAGCCAGCCTCTAGTGGCTGTCTTCCGGACAGCCACTAGAGGCGCATCTGTGACGCTGGAGGCATATTATGCCTCCATCGCGCAGAGCGTCCATAGGAAAGCATTGAGAAATGCTTTCCTATGGACACTTTGAATGAGCACGCAGCACTTGCCGCACATGCGCATTCGGCTCCGCTGACGTTGGCGGGGGATGAGAGGTCACCAGCGCCGAGGGAGCCCAGCGCTGGATTAAGGTAAACTGCTGAAGGGGTTTTAACCCCTTCAGCGCCATGGGAGAGGGACCCTTAGGGTGGGGGCACTCTCAGGGCACTATAGTGTCAGGAAAACCGCTTTGTTTTCCTGACACTATAGTGATCCTTTAATAACATTGACACTGCTATATATTGAGAGCTTTTTTCCCCCCACAATGCTTAGACAGCCTGGAAATGTTATTCACAAGCAGCATCTGTGGTGCTTAGAATTAGTTCTTAGACACAGTTGTGGGGCAAGGATGAGTGAGAGGGCACATTACATTGTAAGCACTGCACGCTGTCTCTAAAGTTAGTGAGGCAACTGAGGTGGCTTTTCTTACAATCAGTGTTTTATATATATATACAGTCATGGAGAAAAGAAAGTACACCCTCTCTTTGAATTCTATGGTTTTACATATCAGGACATAGTTACATAGTTACATAGTTACATAGTTACATAGGACATAATAACAATTATCTGTTCCTAAGCAGGTCTTAAAATTTAAATTTTGCAATGCTGCTTCAGTTCATTGAGGTTTGCTGGCATTTGTTTATGCACAGCTCTTCTTAAGGTCCTGCCACAGCATTTCAATCTGGTTGAGATCTAGACTTTCACTAGGTCATTGCAACCTTGATTATTTTATTTTTCAGACATTCTGTTGTAGATTTGCTGGTGTGCATGGGATCGTTGTCCTTTAGCATGATCCAAATTTGGTCAAACTTTAGCTATCGGACAGATGTCCTCACATTTGTCTCTAGAGCACCTTGGTATACAGAGTAGTTCATAGTTGACTCAATGACCGCAAGATTCCCAAGCAAGCCCAAATCATCACCTCTCCATCACTGTGCTTGACAGTAGGTATTAGATGTTTGTGCCCATTAATAGTGTGACATGCCATTTGAAGACACTGCCGGTATCCTCAAAGCGGGAATTCACACTATCAATAGACATTATGTAAATGCCTGCAAAATGGCATTATACCAGTACGTTGGTAATGAGCACCTAGATAGCCTTGCTCCTCCTTTCCAACCCATCTCGTCTCCATCTGTGACACTGATAGTTGCATTGCGTAATTTTTAAAATCCACCTCATGACTACAGCAATGTGTATAGACTATGCACAGTGAGGTGGATTTTAAAAATTCAATGTCGCACACTCAAGGAGACGAGGTGAGTAGGGAAGGAAGAGCGAGGCTATCTTGGTGCCAGTTAAAGAAGTCGCAGACTGCTAATAGTCAACGGGTTAGAGGGCACAATACTTGAATTTACTTGGGTGGCGCTGCCAGCCAACGCTACGCCACTGACTGTAAGCAAATAATGATTGCACCCAATGACCTAGCTTGGTTGAATAATATTTAGATTCTGCAAAGACCATTCTGTACCTAAATCCCAGAAAGGGCTTTAAAATGCATTTTATTGCCGGACATAATATTTGGTTTTGCAGCTTTATGTTTTAGCTGTAAGGCAGATATTTAGTTTTGAATACTCTTTTCCTTGCTGGTAATGGAGAATAGATATACTATATCTCACAATGGCTTAAAATGTGTCCAAAGCAGGTTAAAGTACTTTCAATATTTTTTTTATGGTTTTACACACTGACTGTAAGCCTGTATATCATATACAATGTAAATGAAAATAAATATGAATATATATATAATACAGGAGTCAACTTCTGAAAGCTATATGTCTAAAAATTCAACGAATAAATCACTCTAAAACACCAGATCATTGTAAGTAAGGATGAGGACAATAGAGAAAAGTTTAAATGTTTGAAAATGGGTTTTACTTACCAGTTTCACATGGCCCTTTCTGGATGTGGATTGCTGGTGGTGAGTTCTGTAGCCTGGCCCGCCTGTTCTCTGCCTTTAGGTGGCACAGGTTCCTGTAGGTCTTGCCATCGCTGCCACACACAGGTTCACTCGTACGGCACACACACACACCCACTCTCCTCCTGGGAGTGCCGCCAACCCCAGGCAGGACACACTCCAAGCCCTCTCCGCACGGGGACGCACCACGCTGCCCGCAGGCCTCCCCCTCCCCTGCCCCGCACACCGGGCAGCAGCCACACGAGTCGCGCACCTCACCTGCTTGGCAGGGAGCCTGGGCACGAGGGCACCGAGATAGCTCGCATACCCGAGGGCAAATAGAGGTCTGGCGGCGGGATATACGGGGGACAGCAGCAGCGGCCAGTGACAGGAATAAGATGGGAAGCAGGGACCATAAAGGAGACATAGCTTCAAAAATGAGGAGAATAAATCCCTGAACAATCTAAATGGAATCTTTGTATCTTCCCCTGCACTGATTACACGCACTCCAGTTATAGCTCCACAGCCCTAAATAAGGACTCATTGAAGAAAAACACTTCTCAAAATATTAAATCCCTAACAAATATAAACTGCTTTCCAACTGTGTTATCAATTCAAATTCATTTCACCAAACACTGACTTCCTAACTCAATATGATTAATTAGTAGCTGATACTTTCTGTTATCCTTGCTAGTTGTGACTAGTCCTTACTAGACAACTCAAAGTCTTTCACAGAAATTTTCAACGCCTTATTCAAGACTCTAACTAAACCTTGGATTTGTTACCAGTCTACCGCTTTGGCTGGCTAGCTATTTCTAGGCTTGGCTGTTTCATTTGGCTTGTATGTAATCTTTAAATCCTAACTACCAATTGGCAAGTACAGATTCACTGTCCCTATAATCTATTTGCTGCCTTCTACCATCAACTTTTCCCCATTTACTTTTAAGCCCCCCAGTTCTCCCTCTTTTCCCACTACCCCCTTTTCCCTCCCACTTACCCCACAAGCAACAAAAATAGCTCATCCGTGGAACAATCACCCTCAAATATTGCCCCAGGGTATTTGAATGGTGAGGCAGATTTCAGATCTAGACTTCTCTACAGTCCCCTTCTCTTTGCTAGAATCCTGTTCTCAGCCCCTAAACAAGGAGGTGTATTGAGGATGTGGTCACACCTATTGCTTGATATAAACCCACCCAGAAAAATCCTCCCAATTTTCCCAGCATCTTTCCGTACATGTCACACTGAGCAAGCGGTTCATTATATTACTAGTGAGAAAATGTTCTACCAGGAGAGGTGAATGTATCTAAGCTCTTAGTAAAACATAATAATAATAATAATAAAGAAAGATAGGGGGACTAAGGGAAGAGAGATAGCTAGCACACAGATTGCTGGTATACGTCATATACTAAAATGTAAATCTGTTTAAAGAAATGTGAGGACAATATATTATTGTGTGTTTTTGGAATAGTTTATCTGCACACATGGTAACCGTATACAGTAAAGAATCACAATAAGATCTATTCAATAAACTGCAATTTCTGCTGGTTTGAACATTTGGGGGAAATCTCAATTTTATCTGAAATGGTTATTTCCCCTCTGCTATTTTGATCACAGTCCCACAATTGCAAGATTGTTTCTTTTTCGGACATTAGAAGATCTATGCAGTTTAAAATTCCCACTTGTTAAATGTGTTAAATAATGATTGCAGTAATTTGTTCCTTTTCATGGTATGGCTGAGGATAATAGGATATGCAGTTGAATACCACATATATATCCTCATAGTGCAACTCATACTGTAGTTTGCTGTATATGGTAGTATTCTATTTTCCAGTTATTTATTCATTAGATTCTAATCTTTTAGTCAGCTAGTTTTTGCCCAGAGATCAAATACATTTCCTTCTGTTCAAATATTTTATATGCTTTCATGTGTGAAAGTAGTTATGGTTTAGTCAGTGTCCCATTATTCAGTATGATGTTTTAGTTTCATTTTGGAAAGAACATATAGCTGTACACTTGCTACATGCAGCTCATATATTTTTCTTTATTTAGATACGTGTAAAGAGCTTGCTGGCATATGGAAACTCTGCCTGTTAGAACATTGGGTTTTCCCTATACAGATGATTGGTTTTGTTGTGAGGATATCTCTTGTGATGGCTGCATTTCCTTTAGATATAAAGGTATTGCTTCTTCTAATTGCTGAAAGTGTGACACCAGGTCTGTCATTTATTGCACTTTATATAGGCAAGGGTCTGGTGTATGCCTTCTCAACTAGCCTCCATCATAGTTATGGTATCACTTTCTGGGCCTTTATATTCATGATTCACAATTCACCTCCAGGGTAGATCCATATTGGAACTCTTTAATCTAAGTGCGTGGAACCAATCAATGGGCTGTTCTTCTGCATTGTCCCCTTGACCCCTTGGGTTGGTACAAGTGATTTTGCTGCATTCAGCAAATGAATTTGAAAGGCTTGTGACATGGAGTAAAACATTTTCAAATGCAAATAGTGGCGGAGTCTCAAATATTTTAGTGAGGGTGTCCCTAACCATCAACTAATAGAATTTAATAACTGGGAACACCCACCTGGCTGTCAATCAAACAGCCAGGAAGGTTAGCTGCTTCCTCCGTTAGCTCCCCTGAGCTAACAGAAATGGCAGGCACGCTCTACTTGAGTATGTCTGCCTCCCCCTCACAGACCTCAGACCAGCTGCAGACTTCAGCCCAGACTTGTGCGTGCGCATGAGATGGTGCATGCACACATAACTGCACGTGAATGCGTGTGCATGTGCACAAGCCATTGTGTGCGTGTGCACATATTCAAAGGCTTCTCAATGAAAAGCCTCTAATTGGTTATTTCTCTGTGAATAGACTGAAAGTCTCTTCCAGGAAACAAGGGGTGGGTTTGCTAAGGCTGCAGTTCATAAGATTTGCAGCCTTTACAAGCTCTTTTAAGATATACCCCCAATGAATGCATGCCTGAAACTTTATGCATGAATTTATTGAGGGTATATCTACTAAACTGTAATCAGGGCCGGATTAACATAGGGGCTGATGGAGCTGCAGCTCCAGGCCCAGGCCCATGGAAAAGGCCCATTTAAAAAAAAAAAAAAAAAGTTTTTTGTTTTTTTTTACACACTACTCTTAGGTTTGCCACCTGACTGGTATTTTACTGACACAGCCGGTATTTAAGGGCTGCCTGGCCGTGCCGGTATTGCAGTAATACCGGCAATACAAATGCAGGTATTTTTCTCAGTATAAACGGAGATTACTCTGCAATACCAGCACCGGCCAGTAGGGGTCACTGTGTGTGGAGAGAGGCAGGGATAGGAAGTTACAGCTTATCCCTCCCTGCCTCTTTCTACTACTCACTGATCCGTGGGGGAGCAGCTACACAGCACAGAGAGTCCAGACAGCAGCTCAACAGCTCAGGTAGGTGAGGGATGGGAGGAAAGGCAGCAGGGACACATGGGGACACAGACACTAGGGGACACTGATATACTTGGGGACACTGGAAAACATAGGGACACTGAGACACTAGGGGACACTGTGACACATGGGGACGCTGAGACACATGGGGACACTGTAAGACATAGGGACATTTGGAGACATTGGGACACGGAGACACTGTCCTATGTCTCCCAGTGTCCCCATGTACCCCAGCCAGTGTCCCTAGTGGCTGAGTGTCCACATGGCTCCCAGTTTCCCCTAGTCTCCCAGTGTCTGTGTCCCCATGTCTCTCAGTGTCCCTAGTGACTCAGAGTCCCCGTGTCTCCCAGTGTCCCCATGTCTCCCAGCTAGTGTCCTCAGTGTCCCCAAGTTTCCCAGTGTCTGTGTCCCTATATCTCCCAGTGACCCAAATGTCTGTGTCTCCATGTCTATGTCCACAAGTGTCCCCATGTCTCCAAGTGTCTGTCTTTCAGCCAGTGTCCCCTAGTCTCCCAGTGTCCCCTAGTCTCTCAGTGTCTCCTAGTCTCCCAGTGTCCCCTAGTCTTCCAGTGTCTGTGTTCCCATGTCTTAGTGTCCGTAGTGTCCCCAAATGTTTTAGTGTCCCCATGTCTCTCAGTGTCCCTAGTGACTCAGAGTCCCCGTGTCTCCCAGTGTCCCCATGTCTCCCAGCTAGTGTCCTCAGTGTCCCCAAGTTTCCCAGTGTCTGTGTCCCTATGTCTCCCAGTGACCCAAATGTCTGTGTCTCCATGTCTATGTCCACAAGTGTCCCCATGTCTCCAAGTGTCTGTCTTTCAGCCAGTGTCCCCTAGTCTCCCAGTGTCCCCTAGTCTCTCAGTGTCTCCTAGTCTCCCAGTGTCCCCTAGTCTTCCAGTGTCTGTGTTCCCATGTCTTAGTGTCCGTAGTGTCTTAGTGTCCCCAAATGTTTTAGTGTCCCCATGTCTCTCAGTGTCCCTAGTGACTCAGAGTCCCCGTGTCTCCCAGTGTCCCCATGTCTTCCAGCTAGTGTCCTCAGTGTCCCCAAGTTTCCCAGTGTCTGTGTCCCTATGTCTCCCAGTGACCCAAATGTCTGTGTCTCCATGTCTATGTCCACAAGTGTCCCCATGTCTCCAAGTGTCTGTCTTTCAGCCAGTGTCCCCTAGTCTCCCAGTGTCCCCTAGTCTCCCAGTGTCTCCTAGTCTCCCAGTGTCCCCTAGTCTTCCAGTGTCTGTGTTCCCATGTCTTAGTGTCCGTAGTGTCTTAGTGTCCCCAAAAGTTTTAGTGTCCCCATATCTCCCAGTGTCTGTGTCCCCATGTCTCTGTGTCCCTAGTGTCTCTGTGTGCCCAAATGTCAGTGTCCCCATGTCTCCCAGTGTCTCCATGTCTCCCAGTGTCCCCATGTCTGTATTCACAAGTGCCCCCGTGTCTCCCAGTGTCCCCAAGTGTCTCTGTGTCCCCATGTCTCACTGTGTCCCCTAGTATCCTAGTGACACTTAGACATGGGGACACTGGGAGAAATGGGGACACTGGGAGACTAGGGGACTGGGCGATATGGGGACACTGACACTATGATACATGGGGACACACTGAGACATAGGGACACTGGGAGAAATGGGGAGTCTTGCAAGACTGAGACACTGGGAGCAATTCATCTGTACAGCAGAATCAAACTGTGAGTAGTTTGATGGTGATTTTACAAAATTTTCTCTTATGTCACTCCTTGTGATTTACACCATGTGATGTCACTCATAACGAATTAATTATACAAAGGATGGTATTTTTTTCCAAGAAAGTTGGCAACCCTAACTACTCTTCACATACTCTTGCTTAAAGGAACACTATAGGGTCAGGAAAACAATCATGTATTTCTGACCATATTATGTAAAAAACACCTTCTAGCCCCTCTGGCCCTCTCTTGCCTCCCTAAATATAGTGCAATCTTACTTGTATTCAAGTCTGCAGCTGCTGGCTCTGCCTCTGAACGGACTCTGTCTGCGGACATAATCATAAGTGGTGGTCTGAGCAAATTACAATCCCCATAGGATTGGCTGAGACTGTCAACTAGGCAGATCAGGGGCAGAGCCAGCACAAGTCAAACATAGCCCTGGCCAATCAGCATCTCCTCATAAAGATAAATTGAATCAATGCATCTCTATGAGGAAAGTTGAGTGTCTGCATGCAGAGGGTGGAGACACTGAATGGCAGTGCTGCACACTAGGCAGTACTGCCCCAGGAAGCACCTCTAGCAGCGATCTAAGGAGCGGCCAGTGGAGTTATTTTCTCTGAAAAGACAGTGTTTACTGCAAAAAGCCTGAAGGGAATTATTCTACTTACCAGAACAAATACAATAAGCTGTAGTTGTTCTGGGGACTATAGTGTCCCTTTAAGTTTGGAAGCTTAAGAGGGATGTATGGGAACAAAACTTGTGTGGACTAGCTGGCAATAAAATTAGTTTAGGTAATGCAGACTTTGGTCTCTCTAACACTATGGCATGTTTCCTTTCTTCTACACTCACTACATACACTACACTCACTACATACACCCTTTCTCTGTCCCAGACTATATACAAGGAACTTCTGCCTGCTAGTAAAAGGGTTAGGAGACAAGTGGACCAGCGAGTGCTAGGGGACAGTCCTTAGAAAGCATGGAGTGAGTGCATCATTAGACACATTTATGTCAAGCTCAGGGTGCTGCCTGCATAGTATGCCCTTAGTTGGACAGC